ACTGTCAAGAGTGCAGTCGGACGTGTTGATTGGACGGGGCTGTGTGATGGAGCGGGTACTTGGACGTCTCCTCTGGGCTCTGTGCCCGCGGCCACCTGGTTTAAACTCGGCCGCGTGGTAGATTGCAGAAAAAAGACCCCCGTTCGGCGGCGGTCGCCGCGGTGACGCAAACACAAACCGACGCGTCTCAGCGTTTTTTTCTCTCTGCAGCTGGAACCACAGACAGCCGTCAGCCATCCAGCTGTCACGAGAGTCAGGGGAGAAAAATTCAAATGGTCAAAAAGCATCTGTTTCCTGTAAAGGCAGAGTGGTCTCCACCTCCAGCAGCGATGATGACCCGACAGGTTTCAGTTTAAGCTGTCCATGCTGGACCCTGCCCACATAAACAAGGGACAATAATAATAATAATAAATGATAACCACCATATAGAAACAGCACTTCCTCTAAATCAGAGTTTCACATCGATTGTAAAATTTGCTCTCAGTCATGAAAAAAAATCAAAGCCCACATCCTTTTTTATTAAAATTAAGATTGTGATATAATATATTGAAACAAAGAACACCACTATTGATAGAGGTAAATAACATCTGGTCTGGAGAAGATGCTAAAATGTATTTGGTACATCATGAGTAAAACACACAAGACTCACTTTTACTGAACAAAACTACGGGGGGGGTGGATGGCCTTTTTTCCGACTTCAGCAGGATTTGGGACCATAACTGGAAGCTAGACACCGTTCACCATAAACTCCTCTGTATACCAAAGCCATCAGAGTCAAATGTGAGGCCATGTGTCCCACAGAAAAAGACAAAGATCCTGAACAGACAAAGATCCTGAACACAGCAGCAGACCAGCGTCTGAAGGGGAAAGAATCCAGGCTGAAAATGCCCCACCGAAAACAATGAACTGAAGCAAAACACTGGAGAACTGTGGCCGAAATCCTTCCGCAGTTATTTTACAGACTGATGGCATCGCGAATAAGTTGATTACTTCAAGTGATTGCTGCACATTTCTTCATCTGACTTTTTGTGAAACTCAGAATGAAATATGGTACGTGTCAGGTTATTTGGAAGTTAAGGGCCAGATTGCACTGATTTCCTGGTGCGTCATACATAAAAACATTTAAATGGACCCATTTAAATACGTAATGCACATTTATTTCCTCTCTTTCCACTGGATTTGAGTCATGGATTTGAGTGTTTGAGTCATTTCATTGCAATTCCTGCTTCAATTCAAGCAGCAACTTCTCCATCAGAATATTCTTCCATTTTTCGAAAAACTGACCAGCATGAACACAGTCAATGACCCCTGTGACTGGAGGACTAGACAGGCTCTAAAAGGCAACGAATTAAGAAGAAGAATGTCGGGGTGTGTTATTTTCCCAGTGTATATTTTATGTTAATATTTTAGATTAAACGCATGACGGTGCGATTCCTTCATTTGTTCATTATCTGTATTATATCTACAGTCAATTTGGGTTTATTTTTTATTACTTTGCTATTTCGTATTATGATTTTGTTGCCCTTGCACCGCTTTGTTTTCTTTTTCCTGTCACGTCACTCCCATGTCATGTTGTAATACCCTAACCTGGATAATGGCTCAACACGATCAGTGTGGCTAATCTCTGCTCAGGTGCTGCTAGTAGGACAGACGTAGGCCCCAAAGTGCTGACTAGGAGTAGACAGTGGGGTAAAGAGCAATCAGTGTGACTGACAGCAGGCTTTCTAATACTGCCAGTGGCTGGTCGACACACTTACTGTTCCGTTTTTATTCAGAAAAGCAGCAAAGGAACTGAAAATGATGCTGCTAGGTGAGATGTATAAACCCACCAGTCAGATTCACCTTTTTTTATGCGCAGAAATCACAGCAAAGAGCCTGGAAAGCAGGCATTCTCTGTTTTTTATGCTCTATTTTGTGAGACTTGGACATGTTGAATGAAAATCTAATCAGCAGCTTCTTGATAATGCCCACTGTGCAGCTCCATGGCTTTAAAAAGAGGCTGAATGCCCCAGTGAATTAAAGTGACTGTCCATCAGTGATTTCATTTCGCCGTTGCCTGGGTGACTCGAGTGAAACGGTCTACACAATAGCGTGAAGAGATCATTGGCACATTTTTGACCTCCTGAGAGTGGAAATGTGCAGAGAAGAATGCGTTCATTTGCTGCTTTTCCTCCAGAGGCAAGCTCCAGTAAGAAAAAAAATTGCAGTGAATGCATTCGATCTGCACCTAAAGACAGTCAACTTCCCCCCATTTGATGTTGATTTAGCAAGAATCAAAAATCTCTGCATCTAAATCAATCCAAATTTAAACTAATATTCAGTAATGGTGGCAGCTGGGAACTGATAAAGCCAAACAAAAATGGCTGTAACCCTAGGTAACAGAGTATTGCCAAATATTTTTTCAAAAACTTAAGTTAAAAAATAATACCACAAACAATTGTGCAGTAAAACTAAGTGCACTATCTTGACATTTGCAAGGTTTTATGTAAAGAGACATAAATGAAAACGACAATAATCTGGACTCGGTTGTGTCGTTAAAATGTGGTAAATAAGACTTATAATAAATAAAACGCGGCCCTGCTTTCTTTCTTGACTTTCTTGTCTTAATTTCACTTTTAACAAAGGCTGTACTTTTTTCCCCATGACAAGCAAGTGACTACCTATAATGTAGGAGAGGCCTATCTACATATTAAGCTCAGCAGAAAGTGATACATTTTATTGTTTAGATTAACACTGAAAATGTTTTCTCTACACTGGACTGAATTTAATGCATCTATAGGCAACGTCTGGCTGTTCAGATTTCTTTGGCCGACATTAACATGCAGACAACTACAGCCAACACATCGAGAAACTTGACAGTTCATTAACATTTCATTTTTTCCCTCAGAGTGAAATTAGTCAGGTCTTAAGAAGCTTGAACTCTGAAACAAAGCAGTTATGTGATAACGAACAAGTTAAATCAATTGTGTAGTTTCACTTTTCTGGTGATGACGGGTGGAGCCCTCCATCTTCATGCACCTTTAGAGCAATTTTCCTGCTTTTTTGCTGCCATACTTTGTGTGAAAAGCAGTTTCAAAATAGAAAAAGTGTATTTATCCTACATAGTATGGACATTAGTTATAATTTTATCTGAGAGAACTCTCGTATCTGGGTGTGTTCTGGATGACAGAGTGAGGCTTGGTGGGTGGGATTTGAACCCCAATCTCATTTCAAAACCTTATTCTTGACCCCTCCTGACCAATAGAGTAACTATCCTCCTCCTACGTTTGGCCTGATTCGGATTCCTCGTGTGGTACGTGAAGGCAGCATTAGGTGAAAGCTCTCTTGCGTCACGAGCTCTCCCAGCGCGTGCTGCGCGCCCATGTAAGCCTCTTCCGCGCACGCTGCCGGTGGACGTAATGGCGGGATGAGATGTTCTGGGCCGCTGATACTCTATGATGTGTGATGGAGGCCGGTGGCGCACGACCTGCGCGTCAGCCGGCCTCTGCGCGCGTGCTGACCCCACGAGGCTCTCAGGGACTTGACCCCAGCGTGAACTGAGAGCTGTCTGCTGACCTTTGGACGAGATTTGTCCAATTCTTACCGTTTAGAGCATCTTATCTGACACGGATAAGAGAAAAAGTCTGATGGATTCTTTTTTGGCTCCATCCCATAACCACTAAAAACGGACTCACTGGAACTGAGCGTGTAACCGTTTTCAAACCTTGCTCGACGCCGATGGGTGCATTTCAAACGACATTAGAGCATTAATTATAGGCCTATGAATGATTAGATTTCCCCAAGCAATTTAGCAGACCGTGTCGCTTAGCAACGCCGGTACCGTTCAAAAGCTCCGCCGCCGGCAGATCACATACATCAATCATAAATTAAAATCACTCAAAGATTTAGTCGACATCTGCGTTGCTTTGGCTCTCCAGTTGGAGACCGAGGGGTTTTTTTTTGTTTTTTTCAGAGGAACATCTCCTCTCAGGGAGCTCTGCTCCAGATCAGTGGACAAAAGTTATTCAGCGAGAATTCCACCTGCGGAAAAGGTGACAGACAGTAAAACCTAGAGTACTATTGACGTGTTCCCGTTATGAGCAAGTATGCAAAGTCGATCACACCCCGGTGGTCACCTGAAGAAAAAACCCCTGAAGCTCATTTTCCCTCCACACAACTTTTCCCCTCCGGTGCATTTGAAACTTTTTGACAGGAGCGTTTCTTTCTTTTTTTTCTTTTTTTTTTGGCAGATGAATGCGCCCAAAACAGCTTTCAGGGAGCTCAGCATTCCCAGTTGTAGGGATGCAGATTAAAATAGGAACCATTGCAGATTGGATTATTCTTAATTCGCCATTTTGTATCGTGTAACGTGTCAGGTTCTGGGCGCCGTGCCCTCGTTTAGGAGGTGCGTCCGAATCCCAATTAGCCCACATTTCTCAGATTGTGCTGAAGCTGTGCTGCTATTCCGCTGCTGACCTCACGGGGGGGGGGGGCTCCACCGTCCACGCCGCGACCGTCCACGCGGCGCGGGGCACTCTGCTTTACGCCACCTCTCCAAATTACGCACGAAAACGTCTAAATGCTGCTGTGCGCAAAGGACTGCATGCCCAGTCACTTAGATGTCAAAGCTGGTGTGTGTTTGGGGGGGGGTGGTTTCACGCGCTGTCAAGACGCAAGATGTGTGTCTTTGAGACGTTAAAACACAAAAGATTGGGACTGTGGTGGACAGCAGAGCGCCGTGCCGGTGCGCGCTGACCGGGGGACCCGAATCCGGAGCCCGGCAGCTCCGGAGCCGGGCTCCGAGGGGAGGGAATCCCTCCAGTGTCTGACGCTCTCTTTACCAAGGAAACCCACACGCGCGCTGACTGACGCAGCTGCCCATTTTTGGAAACGTGCGTCAATGGACCGAAGCAAGTCAGACAAAACGGTGAACTCCGGAGCGGAAACTGACGTCCAGGGGGGGGGGGGGGCAGATTCAGACCCGGGGGGAGCAGTTTTTGCTGTTTTTTTTATTTCATTTTACCCGGATTTCGATAATGTCTCCGGTGTCCGCCAGGAGAAGGAGTGGATCGGAGTGGATCTCTCTCTCCCCCTCGCTGCCTCATCCACAGATGGCCCCTCCCTGGCCCGGTGCGCCGCCCAGGCGTGACGTAGCAGCCCGTTTGAGTTGAAAAGCCGTTGCAGTTCTTCATAGTGCCATTGAAGTGAGTCATCTGTAGGAAGTGGGGTAAAAAAAAGGAAAAAAAGAAAAAAAGTTCGACCTGTTCCGTGAACAGCAGAGAGAGCTTCGCGTAGAGCAGTAGGCACGGCGACGGAAAACACTCTGAGGGGCTGAAAAAGGTGGCGATAGGCTTTTTAACCTGCGTGAGTCACAGACTCCGGTCCTGAGACTCTTCTGCTGGATCTGACGGCTGATGGCGCGCTGCTGACTTTAGGTTCAACTTTGCGCACCTGAGAGGATCTTTGACAGAGTTAGTCTACCTGTGGCACAGACCAGTAAAAGCACAAGGAGAAAAAAAAAGACTTTAAAAGCAGGAAGAACAACAACAGCAAAAAAAAAAAACGGGGGTGCAAAAATCAAACTTGCAATACTTGTAAGATGTTATAATTTTCGCTTTTAAAAAGCGTAATCGCACTTTTGCCAGCTCGTCTTCTTTGGATATCACGATTAATAACGTCTCAAGTCAGAGGATTTTTTTTCTCAAATTTTCCTGTTGGTGCCTTTTTTTTTTTTACTGCGGGGATTTTAAAGACAGAGGCTCGCTCTAGAGCTCAAACAGTCCACTGAAATCTTCCTCTTCCCTGGACCATGTACCAGGACTACCCAGGGAACTACGACACCTCGTCCCGCGGCAGCAGCACCTCTCCGGCCCAGCCGGAGTCCTTCACCAGCGGCAGCAGCACGATCGGAAGTCCGATCTCCACCTCGAGCTACCAGGTAACAGCAGCACAATGTCTAACAGGGCCACACACACACACAGCCGCCGCAGATTTCCTATTCAGAAACGTTTCCGGATTTCTTTTAGAATTGTGCCGCGCTTTCGTTCTTTAAGAGACTTTAATGATTCACCAGGTTCGCCTGGCACAAAAAACTAAACACGGATCAACTCGGTGACACCGGTTATTGCACGGGAGCGAGGCTAGATTCTCACCACGGCTTATTTTGCATCGTTACTGTTAGAATTTTGTGAAAAAAACAAACAACAACATAATAAAATGAGGGTATAGGTCTGAGTGTGCGGGCACATTTACGCACTGGCCGCTGCTCAGCAGAAATGACTCCTCCGGTCTGTGCCGCGCAGAGGGAGACATGCAGGAGGAAAAGCGACGCGAGCTTCTCGTTCCCAGATGTGAAATTCTGTCTTTTGAGCGCTCCACTGCGTCGCTAAAACTGGAACAGATGAGTTAATTGCAGGCGTGGAGGTTCGTTTACGCGCAGACATAAATCCTCCAGCAGCAGAAGCGCACACCGGGCTGCCTCCACTGAGCCCGGGATAACAAACAGACCGGGGATAACAAACAGACAGCTTACGCTGGACGCAACAGGCGTCCGGCTGCTGGACGCAGGGGTGTAAACACACACTGGGAGATGTGGGGCTTCTTTTGGCTCGGGCCGTTGCAGAAATCAATCAAAGGTTTCGGCGAAAGGCGAAACTTTAGTTTGTGTGCGGACTGCACGGCGAACGTGGCCGTTCAGAGAGAGAGAGAGAGAGTGTGTTGTCTAATTCGATTAGACGGGCCTCGAGCCGCCGTTGGCACATTTCCTTCATCTCAGATCGGGAGAACAGGACGACCAGAGGACGGCGTTTCCTCACTGAGGAAATGGCAGTTAACGGGTTGCTTAACCAGGGAAACCGATAAGTGCCAGACCCTGCACTTGGTCTGTTTTTCAATCCGGGGGTCCAGATTTCTGAAACAGAAGCGTAAACTGTAGGTGGGCAAAGCCACGACGACAGATAGTCTGTATATTCCACAAAAAAAAGGATCTAAATCCGGAAATAAGCGAGCCGTTTCCCCACACCCTGTCTTCCGTGTGGTGCGCTTCTGTGGAAAACCGTCGTCAGGCTCACGCAACATTACAGTAAACGACTTTTGGACCGTATTTATCATTGCTCCAGTTCCCTTTAATCACTTACTGGCTGCCTGTTTTCCATTACATTTGGCTGGAACATAGCTTCTTTGTTACCGAGAGAAATGGAAACAAGATATTTTCTGTGTTTACTGAACCGACATAGATATACCCATTTATCAAGCTCTAACATATGTTTAACGACTCAACTAAATACCACACTCCTCTGCGTACAGTTTATTTAGTCTCGTTTTGTTAAAATTTTTGTTACATACTGATGTAAAACCTGGCTAAATTCCTCTCGCATAATTCTGGATAACGAGGCTCGTTACAGATGGCTGCTTCCCCTCTTACTGGAACTGAGCGAGGTTCACATGTGCTCAACAAATCCCATACACAATGACTCACCAGATAAACAAAGTTCCAATAGACTGCCGGGATATCCGACGGAAAGTCGGGAATAACAGAGATGGGGGTCGTGCGTAAATTACGCAGACGTGCTGGCTGAATGCTCCACGGTCTGCGGACACCGAATAGTTTGGCCCACTCTGGTCTAACAGAAGTGGTAGAGTTTGGAGTCATGTGTCATTTTTCATCAGTGATGGCTTAAGAAACTAATCCTTCCTGTAAAGGAGATTTAATATATTTTATATTTGGATAACCTTTCTCAGATGATCTAGGTGACAATTAATAATTTCTTTTATTTTGAAACATTAATAAATTTGAAATTTTAGACCTGGAAGTGGATAAATTCACCGGGTCAGCATTTGTCTTGTGTGTATTGTAGTAAAATAATGTACTGGACACCTTGGGCTTTCCCACATGATTCACTGTATGTGTCACTGCTCGACTCCCGGGGTTACATATGCAGCCTATGTGGATTGAATCATTACTATAAGCCTGAAATGTGGAAAATGTGTGACTTCGATAATGGTGGGTGGCGGCGGAGGCGTCGCTGCCGATTGTGCTGCGAGCAACTCAGAAGCTAAGACGCTTATGGACTTAAATGCTATCCTTTTTGGCAGCACACATGTTCCTACACACGCGTCCCCTCTCACCGCCGCTGTCCCGCTTCTTTCTCTCCGCAGAAGTACAGGGTTGACATGCCTGGCTCCAACAGTGCCTTCATCCCCACAATCAATGCAATCACGACCAGCCAAGACCTGCAGTGGATGGTGCAGCCCACAGTCATTACCTCCATGTCCAACCCCTACTCGCGCTCCCACCCCTACGGCCACCACCTGACCAACGGCCCCGGGCTGCTGGCCCACAACTCGCTGCCCCGGCCGGGGGTCATCCGCTCCATCGGGGACGCCAGGGGCCGGCGCAAGAGAGACGAACAGGTGTGGACAAACGTACGAAACCGACCACGCAACACCGCCTTAAATGCATCATTTCCCAGTGGCAGAGTGGTTTTTGTTGAATTCTACTCGCGTTAGCGTCCACGTTTCCCCGTCTAGCGGCTAATTTTTATGTCTCCTTTGCCTGTCCTCAGCTCACTCCAGAGGAAGAGGAGAAGAGGAGGGTGAGACGCGAGAGGAATAAGTTGGCGGCGGCCAAGTGCCGCAACCGCAGGCGGGAGCTCACCGAGATGCTGCAGGGGGTAAGAGTCTCCGTCCTCACCCAGGACTTTTTGGTTTTCGTGTCGGGAAAAGAAAAAATTTTACTCTTGTTCAGAATTGCACGAGGAGAGCAGACTTTTTTTTTTCTTCCCCCAACTGAACTCCGCTCCCTTAATTTGCAACCCCACTGGACTGGTTTGACTCTCGCTGAGCCTTTAAGTGCCAGGTCTGAGCGGATGACAGGCGATGAAAAGCTTTTTGTCTCGGGCAGCCGCACACAGAGGTGCGGGCTGTCTCGCGGCTCACGCCTCGCAGACAGTAACGGGATCTAAATGGACTAATTAGCCAAATTACAGTGAGGTTGAGCTTGTCAGGCCTTAAAAAAAAAAAAGAAAAACCCAGGAATGGAATGTGCTGCAGGCAGCTGTCTCCATGAATGCAGGACATTTTGTAAAAAAGGAGAAAACGGCTCGTTTCACAATCCCACATGGAGATTCCTCCATGCCTGAGCCGAGACTTCCAGATGAGAAAAAAAAAAAACCCTCTCTCTTCTGCTACTCCACTTACCTGATTTGATCAGGTAACCCAAACGAGGAGTGGCTGCTGTCCAGTCGAATTTAGTCCCAATATTTGCTCTGGTCTCATTTCAGACAACTCCCATACCTTTGCCCATGAGTCAAAGTTCTCAGACAGCATGGCATCTTATCTTTGTCTTTTTAGTGTCTGCTGACACGCATTTAATTTACATTTTTCGTCTCATTAAAAGACACACTGCTGAGGCAGATCTCAAACCTGAGCGACCAGAAGCAGCAATTCTTCTGTGCCGAAATTTAAACAAGCTTCCAGTGAGCGTTTAGGTCCAAATACCTCTTGACATTTACTGGGTTTAATGTGCTGATTTAGCTCGCTGTGAAATGGAGCGAGCGAACAGTGCCCTCTTTTGGTGCTTTAGGTAGTCACAGATATAAGTCGGGTTTATAAAGCTCACGATAAGGTCAGTAAATCTGAACTCTAAAAACGATCAAATGGTGAGTCACAGAGCTCTGACTCTCCTTTTTTCTTCTTTTTTTTTTGCCCGAACAGGAGACCGAAAAGCTGGAGGAGGAGAAGGCCGACCTGCAGAAAGAGATCGAGAACCTGCAGAAGGAGAAGGACAAGCTGGAGTTCATGCTGGTGGCGCACAACCCCGTGTGCAAGCTGCCCCTGGAGGAGCGCCACCAGGCGGGGGGGCACCCGCAGTGCGCCGCGCTGCCGCTGGCCCTGCGCCCGCGCGTCCACATGACCCAGGTGGTGGTCAAGCAGGAGCCGGAGGACGCGGTGGACGAGGCCGGGGGCAAGCCCCAGCGCTCCGTCATCAAGCCCATCTGCCTGGGGGGGGGGCGGCGGCGTGAGCGGCGGGATGTACTGCCCCGACGGCGACAGCCTCAACACGCCGGTGGTGGCGGCGTCCACCCCGGCGGCCACGCCCAGCGCGCCCAGCCTCATCTTCACCTACCCCAGCATGCTGGAGCCCGAGAGCCCCTCGCCCTCCTCAGAGTCCTGCTCCAAGGCCCACCGGCGCTCCAGCAGCAGCGGGGACCAGCCCCCCGCCCCCCTCAACCCCCCCCCCCCCCTGGCGCTCTGGGGCGGGGGGGGGGGGGGGGGGGGGGTACAGGACAAACACTGTGGCGCTCCCGTCTTTAAAAGCACATTATTAAAAAAGTCCAGACCAAGCTGACCACGTGAGCCGTTTTCCCCCTCTCCGGAGGGAGACCCGCAAGGGCTACGCCGCCTTTCCTCCAGTCCCACTTCAGCGTGTGTTCGCCCCCCCCCCTTTCCCCCCCCCCCCCCCCCCCCCCCCCTTTCACCTCCCGAGCGTCACCCCGTTTACCGACCCTCCTGCCGAGAGGAGACCAGGCCGCCCGGGCCGCCACAGAACGACTTCTTAATATATATATTTTTCTGAAAATGTCTAAAAAGCCATGTGGCTGACGCTTGCACTCTGCCAAGACGAATCAATAAATTAATCACTAAGCGAGGTCAGTGTTCCACTGGAATTTTCTGAGGAGAGACAATGAGCAAAGACTTCCTCCGGTCTTTTTTTTTTTTCTTTTTTCCCCTCCCCCCATTTAGATTCGTCCTTTCGATTCAGGATAGCTTCTAGGAGTGTGTACACTTTTTCTGATGTTATTTCCATCTCTTTAAGTGTATTTATGGCCTGTGCTAAATGAAATTTACAAAGTGTTTTGTTGAGACTTTTCGTCCTCTCCTTTAATCCGCCTGTAGAGAAGCGGCCATCCGCAGGGTCAGCCGGGCACTCCTCAGTGTTGCAAAAGGAAACGAGCCAACTTTCAATCGATGACTAGTTCCTCAATACTTTCTATTTTGCCATAGTGGCTTGACTTTATAGTATTGTGTGCTTTTCCTCAGTGATTCTGTACCTGAACTTTACAACCTGTTTTTTGACAAAGTGTATGTGATTTACATTGATGTCAGGGATTATCTCTCATGTGTAGTAGAACCCCCGTTGTGAGCAGCGTGGACAGCAGGACCGCTGACCGTTACAGAGGTGGTACTTTCAAATCTCCTCGCCTCAGTGGGTCGCACTGAGAGAGGTTTATTTTTTCGCTAAGACATTTGGAAGAAAAGTTTGAGCAAAACCCTCCTCCACCGCACTTCTTTGTTCTCTAAACAAGCAACGTTTTTTTCCCCCCACGATGCTCAAGTCTTAGGGGGTGGATCAGGTTTCAAAGAGCCAAAAAAAGATTTGTATGACTCGTGTAACCCTGTAAGTCGTCCATCTTTGTCTAAAAAGGAGGGATTTTGCTCAAATTTGAAAAAAAAAAAAAGAAAGAAAAAGCCACAGTGGTCCAGACTGTCTTCAGCTGCCAATGATGTCAACCCTGTTTTTACGGTGTTTGTAAATCTTTTTGTCACTTTTAGTAAAGAAATGATGTTTAAACTCTGCTCAGATGAGCCGAGTTCTGAGTGCAAACGTGGAGGTACTTAGCCCGAGTCGAAACCGCTTCGCTTTTCGACGACGAGGAAGGGATGAAGAAGACTCTCTCTACAGCTGGTCTGAAATGAAAGAGTGGATTTTCTTGAGTTCTGCCAAGAGCTGGTTCATCATTATTTTTACATGCGTGTGTCTTAAAGGGATGAGGGTATGAATACGTGCACTGAGGACAGGACAGCCACATCTGAGACTTTCCTTTCGTTTACGAGTGACATTCCTAATGAATTTAACGTCGGGGGTTTAGAGGAGGCGAGCCCGTTTTGTAATCAGAGGAATTAAAGTTGCGCTTGAACGCCTTCCGTTGCGTTGGATGCTGAAACTACATTTTTGCAATTGAACACAAGCTGCTGCTAACTTGTTTGGAAAGATCATGTCGGCTGTTGAGATTTCAACTTAATGTGACTGGTTGTTGAATCGCGTGATGCAATGGGGTCTTTAAATCAGGATGACAACATAGAGAGGTGGGATGATAACCAAAAATATCATTATGTCTGTATGTTGGAGTATTCCGGAGCCCGTGGACACACACGTAGGAAAGCCATCAGCAGAGATCCTCTACTGTACATGTCATCTACTGTCTGTCGCCTGTTCAACTACTAGTACTTCTTTTCCAAATGCTTTAACTGTCAAAAATCATTCAAAACGAATAAAAACAGCAATATGTATAGCAGTGTTTGTTAATTTAAAAGAGTAATAATAAAATAATTTTCAACATGGAAACGTCTCGTTTTGTTCATGGAAATGTGGAAAAGTAAAAGATCGCTCGTTCTTCAGAACGACACAAAGAGATTTTAGTAGCTATTTGTAGTTTGGCACACATATATTACCATTATCAAGCTTTGAATAGGATTTTCTTTTTAAAGTTGAATAACGGTCAATAAATTTAAGACAGCCACAAATGTTTTGTTGAATATTCAATCAATAGATACGATTTGAATTCTGTTCATTTAGGAAACATTTGGAATTGACCTTACTCTGGAAGTTTAATTTAAAAAAATCACCCAAACAATTATGCAGCTATCATATTTTAAATCTTTTGTAGGATGAGAAAATCAATAATTATTATTTTCATTCAAATGTCATACAGCTGTATGTGTGTACACAAACACACACATATATATATATATATATATATATATATATATATATAAATAGATGTATATACACATACATGCATACACGCAGATACTATACTTTTTATGAAAAATTGTTGGATTGTATTCTAAGTCAGAACGAAAGAAGATGGGGGCAACAGGGTTGAAAATTCAGTATCATATAAGAAAAGACACAAACTATAGAACTGTGTCTGGGACATTTAAAGGAAGCTGTCCAGATAAATGTAGAAAACTGAGAATTATTTGGCAAGGTTTGGGATTGTTTGCCAGAATCAATGACAGAGTATTTAAACTGAACAAAAGTACAATAATAAAGAGAAGTTAAACCTGGTCTGAACCTGGCTTCGTGTACAAATCAGGAGCTGGTTTCTAGAGACAGGAAGCAGAAACAGTCCAGCACTGTGAGAACAACAAGCTCTTATGGGTAAAATAAGACAATATAATCCGCTAAAAGGAAGATTTTGTACGTGGTTTGAGGGATTTAATAGTTTTATTCTATTTTCTACCAGCAGTCTGTTTTTTCATATTGGGTTTTATGAGTGAATTAAAGACAAAGCCTGGTCAGAACACTCCAACAGTTCCTAAAATTTTACCAAAACTACAGAAAACTGCAGCTCCAATTAAATAATCTTTATATTTCCATTAGATTGGCGATGGTTTGCTGCCCTCACGTGGCCACAGACGTTCATTACAACAAAAGGTTGACCTCTTGTTCCTGTGACTGTTTGAGCATGAAGAGTTCAAGTTCAAGTCAGGAAATTATCCACCTACATTTGCCCAGCGATCTGAGCAGTTTGATCTACAACGTTCAAGAGTTTTTTTCCAAAAACGTACCATCACCACATATGGGTTTCTTTTCCAAACCATAACCGCATTCAGGGGCCACATGCTGATACATGATCACACCCCCCGGCTGTCCTTAAGGGGGAAAAAAAGCTTTCATCATCTCTGACAGCCAAGCTTTCATCGTCTTCAAATTCAAATGAAAGCTGTGCATTCAAAAGGGTTCATATCCAACATGTCCAAATCTCTAGCTGTTGAATGAGAGCCTCTGTAATCGTTTTATCTCAGTACGCAGAAACAAACAAAAAAGCTTTCTCTTTGATTTATGATGTCATTTTTCATGAAGTGGTTGCAGGGACAGAGATCAGACGGAGTTTTAGGCAGATTAGTCTCATATAAATGCGGAAGCATCAGCATCTTGACCTCGTTTCATTGTGCATTCCCCTTCCCACTAAAGATACAGATCAATGCGCAATGGAAGCGGATTCGTTTCATGCGGATCCATTTCTGTGCCTTGTTCCTCAGGACAGTGGAGTCCTGCAGCCGTTGAAGGTTTCCCAGTTTCAACACACCTGGTTCACATCCCTGCGCCGTTAGGCACATATCTGATCATGTTCCTTATTATTTTGTCTTAAAGTTAAACGCTATTCAACAGAATATTCGGTTATTTGTGGTCTTTCTCATGGTTCTTTCTCATGCATTTATTTAAATTTTGGGCAGCTTTAATGCTCTTTCATTCTCAAGAATTCATTAATGTCCACAAAACTTTCTCCAAATCAAACCATTTTGTGACTACATACCTCTTTGTTTGGTGTCCTGCCTCCAGAGCTCGTGCTGGAGCACGTTCCATCCTCCTCAGGTCCAAAACACCGTCCTCTCACGCGCGTACACGTGGTGCAGAGGGGGGAGGGGGGGGGGTATCGATATCCAATAAGTTCGATCCTTCTTTTCTTTTTTTCAGTTTGCAAACTCAGCTTGTTTTCATTGTAGGCTTTTTCTTTGATCCCTAAAACACAAAAAACGCAGTAATTAAATATTGGACCTGCAGGAACTCAACTATGGTGAGAAATGCTGTTTACTTCCTCTTTAGGTGCACACCTGTCCTCATTAAGTCACATTAGGATGTTCCTTTTGAGGAGTCTGCCTCCTAGTGGTTCAGGTTCAGTACTACACAAACACATCCCAAAAAAATGTTAAAAAACGCCAAAAGGATTGAAAACCTGATTCAATGGCTGCCTCCTGTTATGGGAATCAACTACTGAAGTCAACAAAGTACTCACTTATAAAGATAATAACGCTCACCACCTCTTGGTGAGTGTTTTTGACCCACTACTCTGGGCAGGCGTTTGGAATCCATCTGTACAGGCCTCTGTTTGCATCCAAAATGTCAAAGATCAAGACGTCCCAATTAGAAAAAGACTCAATTAGAAAGATTTGTTTGTTTAGGCTGCAGAAGAAAGCCTCTTTTCTCCAAAAAGAACAACACAGTTTAGGATTGTGAAGCTGCATCTGAGCAGAGAGCTCTGGAACAGGGAACACACCAGGGTGGAGACGTTTGTTCAGAATACACACAAACCTGCTCAATAACTAAACAACCACCCCAAATCCAGCAGTGAATCTACCACAGAGTGTCTGAAAAGGCTTCAATAGTCCAGTAAAACTCCAGCCCTGTCTGACATTTCCCTCCCCGACCACTGTGCATTAAAGATTTTTATAGATCAGGCCATCTGAGATCAAGCTGGTAAATAAAGCGTATAGAAAATCTGATACAGAGCTCTGATGGCAGAAAGCCGTCCAGAGGCTCCATCCTCTAGCCTCATGCAGAAAGAGGTTTTGTCATTACAGCACGTCAGCAGGACGATCTGATCGTATTGGTGAAACACATCCGTTCAAATGTAGCTGAAATTAAATCCGAGCACAGACACTTTCTTTGAAATCAACCCCTGATATCCTGGGAGCTTTCAGCCTGCCGGGGCTAAGTCGGGCGTGGGATGGAGAGGAATTTAGTGTCCAAAGACACTATGTGATGGAATGTGATGGAATTATCACAGGGAACACAAAAAAAACCAGCTGCAGCACAAGGAGACCTGCGACTTATCTGATGCATGGGGGCACAGCGGCCTCGTTCAGGAGGGTAACGATCCAAGGACACCATCACGGCGTCCTCGGGTGGAATTGATTTCCACGCTGAGATTTGATTAAAGCTCGCTGTGAATCCGAGACAACAATCTTTTTCAGGTCTCCGTCACGTGGGGAGTTGTGTGTTTTCCTTCACCGTGAGAGCTCCGCTTCCTGAACGTGTCCTTGATTGTTAGCGAACATGTACCTGCTGAGTCAGCAGAGAGGCAGATAACAACAACGGTGATTACATCTAAATTGATTATAAGATTGTGAGGCCGATGGGAGAACATCAAAGTAATTTTTAGAAAAAGCTGAGATATTCAGGAGAGGTCCAGGTTGAGACATCATATTTTCTTGTTAAATAAAATAAAGCTCACACAGAAGGCATGTGTCTAAAACTGCTTTCTTTCCTGTGTGTTGAATTGTCAGAATTAAGAAAATCTGTTTATTTATCGAAGGTAAAATGTCTATAGCTGCTCTGACTCTTTCCCACTGAGAGACAGAAGCACAGAAATGAGAGCAAAGCAAACCACTGGGTGACTTTTAGTCTAAAGGGAGGCTGCAGGAGGAACAGCCCAGGCGGAACGATGCCCGTGACTTTAAGTGCTGACTTAAACATTTATTGAACCGCTGAAGCCACAAGCTGCTTAGCAATTCTTGACAGCTGTCAGCTGTGCCAGTGTATGAATGTGCTCAGCTTCCTGTAAGAGAGGTCCGACAGCACATCCCTTCTCTGATAAAACACCGAATCTTTGAGGCTGAGGTCTGATTTCAGTTTAACAAACTGCCAAGATGAATCGTAAAATCTAACTTTTTTAACAAGACCTTTCTGGGCTTTTTCTTATTCATTTACTCATATCTTCTAAAGGCCCGGAATTGATTCTGTGAGTGACATTAGCATGCAGCATCTGTAGAAGTGGACACTTCAACAGAAAGAAAAAATCCATCAGATTATCGGGATCATTGAGGGAGGATAAACTGCCGGTGTCCTCAAAAGAACTGGCGAGTCATTTCACAGATGATTTAACCTGGGGCAGCTTAGATGTGAGAGGCATCGTTCAAACTCCAGGGCAGACCTGGCCACCCTCTAAAAGGAGAAATGTTGAAAGACACATGCAAAGACGGCTGATTATGAAGGCCCAACAAAGCTTTAAAGAAAAAGAGACGCAGTCTTTAAATGATGGCTTTCAGAATTCAGGCTGCCTCTCACTACATTCATTAGTTCATTAGCTAACTCTTCTACATGTGGATGTGAGTCTGAAGCTCTCGGCCCACATTCACAGCACAGCTGTGTTGCTAAACTCCCAAAACAACCAATATGAGCGTGGGTCCAATTATTTCTGGACCCGACTGCTTTGACATCGGTTGTCCTCAGCGCTGGCATCATTCGAAGGGCAGTTCGGACACACGGTCCGTTTCCATTGATCAGCACTTTATCTCTGGAAGATAAAACACACACATGCAGCTGATGAGGAGGAAAAAGCAGCATCGAATCGCTGTAAAATCAACACTTCCTCACAGATTTAAGGCAACTGCCAGCATGCATACGGTACATAAGGAAAACGACACAAGTGTTTACACGGCAGCTTTATTATCTGATCTTTTGTCCAGAGAGAGTCGATACTCTTTACGGGAGGAGTGACTAATTCAGCACTTTCTAAGAAGCGTGATGAACTCCATACTTGGCTCATTGATTAAGACCTAACGACATTGATGAGCCAACAAATAATGGAGATACTCTCACAGGACTGAGCAGCTTTAAACTCATGCAAGAGGTGGAGGGAACTCTAACAGAGCTAACCAGGTAACAGTAAGGGTCCCGCATAGTTAAGAACGATGTCAGCAGAATGTGTAAAACAGCATGAAAATAAAAAACGTGGTGTTTTTGTTACCTTTGAATGAACAGTTTACATACAAAAATGCTACAGGTCAACCTCCTCCCACCATCACCATCTTACACCATGTTCCTACTCCAGGCCAGAATTCATGAACAGAACGCTGGCTCTGGAAAAGCCTTTTCATTTTGGTTGGAGGTTTTGAGTAGATGGCTGGCCGGACGCACGCATCAGTGGCTAAAAGCATGGGAAATCCGCAGGCCATAATCTGAGCAAGAATTCATTGTAAAGGTGGACAATAATTTCAACCTGTTTAATCTTAACCTCTATTTTGAATATTTGTATTGGCAGCAGTAGAACAAGCACTAAAAACCCAACCACTAACAACCTCACATTTAAAAGAAACTACTGTAAATGACATAAAGAACTCATAAGAAGCAGTATCCGTTTACATGTGCTACAACATAAAGCTGAGATCTGAGTTGGATCAGTTACTGTTCTGCTTCTGATCCAAGCGTTTTTGCCTCTGGTGAAACTTGAAGAACTTGTTGAATATGTTCGTGATGGGCAGCGCCACGATGAGCAGCCCGCAGACGATGCACAGGCTTCCCACCAGCCGCCCGGCCAGAGTGACCGGGAAGGTGTCCCCGTAGCCCACCGTGGTCATGCTGATGGTGGCCCACCACCAGCCGATGGGGATGGACTGCAGCTCCGACTCCTCCGACTCCTTCTCCACGAAGTAGACCAGCGCGGCGAACAGGGACACGCCCATGGAGAGGAAGAGCAGCAGCTGGCCCATCTCGTGGGAGCTGTGCCTCAGCGTGGCGCCCAGAGAGCGCAGGCCCGCCGAGTGGCGAGCCAGCTTCAGGATGCGAAACACCCGCATCAGACGCAAGATTTGCACCACCTTGCCCACGTTCTCCAGCTCCGCGCTGTCCTCCGTGTACACTTGGTCACAGATCAGAGTGACGTAGAAGGGCATGATGGACAGCAGGTCGATGACGTTCAGAAGGCTGCACAAGAACTTCCTGGCTGATGGCGCCACGGCCAGGCGGAGGGTGAACTCTGCGGAGAAGAGCAGGACACAGAGGTTGTCAAAGAAGGCCAGCGCGGGGCTCTCGATGGGCTTGTCGTCGGGATCCAGCTGGCGGAACTCCGGCATGCTGTTCAGACACATGGCCACGATGGAGACGATGACCACACTCACAGACGCCGCGGCCATGGCTTTGGCCGCGGTGGAGAAACCGGGGTTCTCCAGCCGAATCCAGATGTTCCGGCGCGCGTCCGCGCACCAGGAGCCCTCGAAGAGCCCCGCGTCGTCCTCCAAGGCCGACAGCTCCTCCATGGAGGAGTCCGAGCTGAGGGGCTGCAGGTCGTCGCTCCCCTGGTCCTCGGACCGGCCCCCCCGGGACAGCTCCATCAGCTCCAGGAAGCGGCCGCTGCAGCACAGGTCCAGGTGGCGCTCCTTGATGCCCCAGTACTCGATCTCCTGGCAGAAGGAGACCACGCACAGGCCGTCCGCCAGGTGGATTTTCCCCGTCAGGTAGAAGTTGAGGACGTAGCCGAAAAAGCTGGGGCTGCGGTCGAAGTAGTACTCCATGTCGGAGGGGCTGAAGTCGTCGCAGAGCTCCAGGATGGCTTCTTTGGAGCTGCAGCTCATGAGGCGGCCCAGGCGCGTCTGTGGGAACCTGCTGAGCACGGTCTGGTCCATGCGCTGCCGGAACCCGCCCACGTTCACGTTCAGGAAGCAGTCGCCCGGCGGCCGGAGCACCTGGCCGAACACCATGATGAAGCTGCGGCTGACCTCGTGGTTATCCTCAATCTCAGAGGCCTCGCCGCCTGGACACAAACGCTGAGAAATTAGCACACCTCGGTTCCCCGTATGTCATCCGATCACATCCAGAAGCTTCACATCAGAGCCATCGTGTCTCAGGTTGCATCTGGGCTCCTGTGACAGTAAACAGTGTCAGCACATCTCACAAAGAAGCCTTCACTGGCATAAAAACATAAAACAATTTTTTTTTTTTTTTTGCTCTGTTGTGCAATTTTGCCATTTTAGACAGATCAGCCTTATTTAAAGCTGAGGTTGAAAAAAAACAACATACATTAATTTTAAAACAGCTGACTTGTTGAACTTAATGCACCAAAGAAAAAAAAGGTTTGTGTGTAGTCTTAGTTGTGTTAAACCTGACAGAATTTTAAACTCTCTGCACCACAATCAGTGCTTCAGACTCAGAAAGTTTAGGCGCATTTTCTTACTATATCACTCTGCCTTTAAATGTTCAATAACAATCCAAAACAGAAATAGGAAGAGAGCATTTTTTTTTTCTTTTTTGATGAAGCATTTAACAATGCAGAAAGAAGAGGGCAGAGCTGCGTCTTACCTTGTCCATGTGCTGCTGTGCTGTGCTCGGTCCGGAGAGAGTGGAGGACGGTGCGGCATGCGGTGGAGGGAAAGGCGTTTGTGAGTCCTGCGTAGGCTGGGACGCAGTTTCTCACAAGCAGGCACATCCTCCTCTAACAGGCTGTTAGGACACGTTTAAACTTTAATGGTGCTGCCTTCCTGAGGTGTCCTTCACTATACTCATACCTCTTGACACCAGTATCTCTTGATCTTATTCTTATCGGACTGATTTGGTGTTTATCACTTGTTTCATATAGTATTGTAGTGGAATTGTAGCTTTTTTTGTCAATACATATTCTATCATAAATACACAATGACACAAATCTATCGCTGTAATGCAGTTTTCATCTGGAGAAAAAGACAAATATAAAACCAAAAACAGAACACATAAAGAAAAAGCAGCAACTATCCAGCTCTTGACGTCTGTTTACTGGTCAAAAAACTTACAATATTAAGGGATGTGGTGTGCCTCTGATTAATTATAGTGTTGATTAATATGAAATAAATTGCTAGTTAAAGTCCAAAATGATCAGATTCAAATGAAAAGCAAAAAAAAAAAAAAAAAGTATCCATGAGCCTGTGTGTGAAGGGTAAAAGAATCAGTGCACAGCTGGGAGGACGTGCATGATAGATTCTAATTTGCTACATGGTAAACCACTCAGTAAAATTTCAAAAGTGAATAGTGCTGGTGACTGCGAGCATACGTGTTGAAACATTAAATTTGCAGCATGGACTTTATGGTATGGAGAACTATTTTTAAAGCCAAAGTATTCACAGGAGAGCAGTGAGTGCATCAGGAGAGACTTGATGGAAGGTGTGTGTCAAGTCTGGAGGACACCGTTACCCTTTCTGCGAACTGAATAAAACTAAATATCTCAGCAAGGATGGAATAATAGTCGCTTGATATATTAATTAACTTAGAAGTGTCAAGAAATGCTGTAGGCAAACACTGATAATCTTACAGCCAAACCCTGGTCCTCAAGGCACACTGCCCTGCATGTCCTCCAAGGTTCCTGCTTCTGCACAGTTGATTCCAATAATTGGATCAACCCTGCAGCTCTGCAAACCCATTCAGTGTAATACGGCGTGCTAGAGGTGGAATACGTGGAAAACATACAGGATTTGTGCCCCTTAGGACCAGGGTTGGGAGATACTGATCTAGAATCTGTGCATAATTCAGATTTGGAGAAAAAAAATCTGTATAATGGACCTCATAGTCCAATAGTAAAAAGAATTTCACAGAGCAAATCTTTCTGTTCATGGTTGTTTTTCTTAACAATAAATGTTTGTCTCTTTGAGGGGAGGAACCAATGGTTTGGCATTGAATAAGTAAAAGTTATTCTTTAACACACTGCTGTGATATTCTCGGTAATAACCTCTGATATTATGAGCATTTAAACTGATTTAAACCACATGCTGGTAAAAGCAGCGTAAAAGTAATTTAGGTTCTCAGCATGATGCAAAATAGCTTACACCAGGAAAAAAGAGTCCATTTCAATGTTTTCAGCACTTTATTCAACTGCTCACTTTACTTTAAAAATAGTTACAAAGTTTTTTAATTGACAACACATTTTTTGAAAAAAGTATGTTTATTTGATAAATATACATAAACAGTTTGACTTATTTGGTTTTGACCTCTTTCTGCTCGTTTGGCTAAAAACCACAAAGCTGCCTCTGGGCATTAAAAACCCAACACGTCAATAAGATTAGGCCTGAAAATTCACAGTTATTTCCACAAATGACCAATTAAGGTGCACAGGTTCTACCAATGAATTCAAACACAGAATATGTCCCAAAATGCTCTGAAACTTCCCTTTTTCTGCCTCAAAAGATTCCTCCTGGGAAACTGGAGCTTCGGTGCCTCACATGAGGGGGCTGTGGCACAGCGGGCAGCAGTTGTATTTGCTGATCTCATGTTCGTCGGCACAGTGTTTACACACACTGCACATCCAAAACTGGCACGCCCGGATCGGCAGTCCTGTTGCAATACAGGTGGGCATCTTTCCCGCCGGCCTGAAAAACAGAAGAAAAGTTGACCAACTTTGAAATGAAAAGAAGGGGAGGAACTTCTGGTGGATGCTAAAGTTGTTCCGGGGCTCTATGTAGAGTGTGGGACTTAACTTTACAGTCAGTTATCTCAACGAATGACAGTAAGGTCTATCAGCACCCTTAATAAACACTAATTGATTATAGCAACTGAAATATTGCTTGAAATGCTTTGGAAGTGGCTGATTCAGCAGGTTGCTGTGGACCGTGTGCCCTCACCGCTCTGGTGAGCTGCTGGGCTGGATCACACGGTCTTTTGGGGGATGTTTGGTGAAGATCTCCAGGGCAAGGTCCTCATAAGGTTGCCGTTGCTCTGGACTCAGACTCTCCAGGGATTCCAGCTTGATGAAGGCGTTGGAGCATGTGCCGAAGGCCCGGTTGGCTGCAGAGCAAATGGCCAGCAAAGAGTAGATCTCCACTGCTGGGATGACGTCCTCGTACTCGCGCAGGTGAAGAGCTTTAGAAAGTAATAAACAACAAATAGTTTGACTTATGCTACAGGTGAGATTAGCATTGGCGATTAGCTTATTAACTTGCCCTGTACAATCACCTCAAGACACCTCCCACTCTTATGAGTTCTTTATGCCACATCACAACATGACACACAAATCTACAGCACCTTACATGCAAAGCAAATCTATATTGGTCATGTTTTACATACACCCTCTGAAAATAGTTCCTTTATGCATATGCATGCCTGTAAAAACACTGCTGACAGTCATGTGCAGACAAAGCTCCATTCACCCTCATAAAAAGACTCGGAAAATAATGCAGATCACTAATGTCATGATCGAGGGGACTTTTATATTTGACAAAATGCCCAAAAATCTCAGAGCCTTCACAAGTGAGTCCAGATGGCATCACAAAAGTTTAGTCACCAGAAAAATTTAGGACATTTGGAATAAAGATTTCACAAAGATTTCCTCAGAGCTCCTTCCAGGTTACAGAAAAGCTGGATGTTGAAAAGAAACTTGTTTATTCTGTTTATTAACACTAGATGGCAGAAGAATCCTGAAGAGAAACCAAAGCCAGAGTTTATTTTTGTCATTTGAATTGAAATCAAAGTAGTTAAAAATAAAGTTAAAAAAGGAAATAAGCCCCTTTCATAACTGTTTTAAATATGATACAGGTTCAGTATTTCACCCCTCAGATATGCTGCATATCACCAGTGAACCTGAGCCAGTGTGTGAGGTTACCTGTGCGCATTGCGTTCTCCATGTAGCCTGCGTACAGGTGCCTTTGAGCGAGCAGGAAGAAGTGATATGCCTCCGCTCCTCGCCAGGCGTTGTCCACGATGCGATCATCTGAAGAGGTGGCATCTTCTTCAAGCAGGCCAGCCAGTGCAAATGTTGCCTGAGTGCACAAAATCACACCAGAGGTGCCTTGTACGGTAAATATGTAATTAAAAGATTAATTTAATCTAATTCATGATAACTTTAACCATGGCTTTACTCGTGTCTTCTTAAAAAAATGTATAAATCAGGAAAAGAAACAGCACTGAAAGATGTATTTCGGAATAATGACCTCTGACTTTTTTCCTTGGACTTTGCTCTGCTGGGAGGTCTTGACGTGCTCGTGGTAGTCTTCAACAAGCCGCGCCGCCAGCACGTAGAGCTTCTTCACCCTCAGAGGCCGGCTCCTTTTCTTCGCCTCCTCATCAGCTATCTACAACAGTCAAAAGGCCAATCACACCAGGCATGGCAGTTTTAACAGAAATAATTCTCAAAACGACAACAAATAAAGTGAATTTTTAGCATCTTTAGCAGCTCATGATCTCTGACCTTTGAATAAGGTTTGAATTGACTTTAAAATTATCACAAATTTACATCAAGTGAAGTTGATGAAACCAAGAATTATGTCATTCTTATCTGGGGATTAAGGAAATGGAATAAGTTTATGAGGAACTAAATTCTGAATTTCTCAGACAAATTGTTTTATACAAATCACATTCTGATTGTATATCTCCTATCAATCTACATTGAAACGGGCTGAAACAGCAGTTAAACGTGACCCCACCTTAAACATGAGTTTGGCAGCCTCAAGAAAGTGATGGGCTTTCCGATACAGTTCAACTGCCTCCAGAGTTTTATTCTTCTCAAGAAGATGTGAGGCGTATTTGGAAAGAAGAGATTTAATCTCCTTCATGTTGAGGGTTCTTGCCAGTTCCACCGCTTTGTTCCACTGAGGAAACAAAAACAATAATTAAAAAAAGAGCAGTGCATGTAGCATTTAAGTATTAAATACCAATCTGTTCCCAACTCAAATCAACTATGTCGTCTTCGTGGCTAAGAAAACAGCTGGACAACAACAGACTTTGGGTCTGAGAGAGACACAGTTTATTTAGCTGTCAAACACCACAGTATTAACACAGCAAGAGAAAGTTCTTGCCGCTAAAGACATTAATTAAAGCCAGAAGATTCATATAATTGACACTAAAGCCAGCTGGGGTTAAACATAGAACCACTGTGGTTCAGTTTGTTTTGCATTAAAAAAAAAAGACTTTCTCTGTTTGGGTCCATCTCAAACAGTCAACGCTTACATTTGTGACTAAAGCTTAAAATTTACATTGGAAGTTCAGCCTTGGGAGCAGCCTTCACAGTTGAGAGTTAAAACCAGGCAGACAGGGGGCGGGAGTGGGAGGACAGCCGGTGCCAGCTCGGCTGGTGCACTCTGAGAATCAGCGAGTGTCATTCGGAAACTTTTCTGTCCGTCTCTCACCTGGTTCAGATGGACGCACGTGTCAACAGCAGCTTTGGGCTGTTTGCACTTCAGGTAGGCGTTCACAGCTTGTTCACACATGCCCACAGTGGCAAACATCTGGCCAATTTCCTGCAACATACACAGAGGATGACAGTAAACAAAATGCTGGAGAATTTACAGTGCACAAGTCCAAAAAGACCTCCACGGGTTGGTAAACATGTGGCTCACCGGTAACAACTTATGATTCTCGGGCAGATCTGTGGCCAGCCTTTCGAGGCCATCATAGTCCTCCAGCATGTAGTAACATTCGGCCAGCCTCTCCTGGTTACGGCCCTGAAGGTAGAACTGCACAGCATTGGCCCTGTGAAGCAAACAACATATTTGATGGTCAAACAGTGTTTTCTTTTATCTTAAATGATCAATTCACCATTTTTAAATAGATATATTTCATTTAAATAAATTCTCTGATGATTTGTTGTACTTTCATGAGTGGCCCTTACAATGCTTCTACAGCTTCAGTATCAGTGAATAATATTGATTTAATTATTTAAAAAAACTTTTAAAACCTTTTTTTATTTTTGTTTTTTTTTGCAGAACTGCAGAGATTGATACGAGAAAAAAACTCTTTAAAGATATTGTTTTGAAAAAAGCTGATCTTGAAAGATAAATGACTATATTTATGTATCAAATTTGAAAAAGGATTTTGTTAATATTTAAAAGAAGACATGAATTTCTTCCATAGATATGAAGAACTTGCAGAAAAAAAAATCATGGACACGTTTATTCAAATATCTAATGTGATAGATATATTTTTACACCGTCTAAAAATATATCTCCAAGAAGAAGAGAAAGAAAAGAGAAAAATGAAATACCACTTCTGCCTATCAGCAAAGTAATCGCCGATTGCATTGTATGCCTGTTCCAGCAGAGCATCGTCACAATCCCCCGAGCCACTTTTGAGCAGTTGCAGCACTTTGAACCAGTCTCCCAGCTTGATCCTCAGGTTGATGGCTAGGTCCCTACACAGACAGAGCTATCAGACTTACACATTTCAAACTCATCAAATGCAGAGGTGGTCTGTATAGTTTGGCTTGATTTACCTTCGATCCATATCCAGGTACATTCGGTCTGCTTCTTCAAACCTGCCGAAGTAGGCGGCCACCTCGGCTTGCTTCATGGGTTCCCTCTGCAGGTTGCCCAGGCGCTTCACAAACTCAATGCCCTGGTAGTCTTTGCAGCGGACGAAGGCCTGCTCAGCTGTCTTTAGATCCAGTTTCTGGAGGGCGGCTTCTGCCAGCAGGCGCCTGAAAGGTTCAGAGAGGAAAGACGTGGACAGATCGCTTAGCTTGAGTAACATGACATTTACACAAATATGCTTTAATAAGAACTTAACCAGAATGGTGTTATTGAATTATTCTAAAACTCCCTGAGGTGTAAAGATATATTATCTCTGTATCACTCTTGTAACTGATCGATTTTGTTGATCTAGATAGAGATAACCAGAGCATCTGGTGATCACATGAAACTTGATCACAGCACAAACAAATCCCATTGCATTCTAATGTGAAAAGAAAGAACCGGCCCTATTTGAAGTTCAAACATTATCCTTAAAGACATCAAAGTGTGAAGAAAAAAATCCTAGATTGCCTTTACCAGAGTCTTGGGTGAGGATTGTCCTCAATGAACTGTGAGGCATCTTCAATTCCCACTTTTTCGATGAGCGCGCGACTGTCCCTCAGGGAGCGGATCTCAAAGTTTATAAGGTTGTCTTTGTTCGGCCTCTCTGGATCCTGTTGGAAACATCATTTGAGAACTCATTCAGTTTTCGTACATGTCAGTATTTAAGTGAAAGGCCTCTCTTTCTGACAGGCAATGCTATTTAATAAATTACCTTCATGATTTCATCAAGCAGGACAGATTTGATTTCCAAGTCTTCAAAGTTGCAGATATATCCAGAAGTTTGGATTGGTTCCTGTTTTTGAATATAAAATTGTGGCCATTTAGTAATAATATGGAAGTCCTTGACAAAAATCAAATCCTTTTTTGACCAGTTTGCAGAATTACCTCTGGATCTAGGTTCCTAAAGACGTACATCCTGGTTTTCTCCATCATAGCAAACAGATCAGGGTTATCATTGGCCCACTTCATGTCCCAAACATCCTTGCGCTCAAACTTTGACGGGTCCCCGGCAGCCGCATGGTCCGCGCCATTATCTCCGGCAGAACACACTTCCAGGTCCAACAACGTCAGCACACCTGAGATGTCGATTATGGCCAGACGACTACAGAAGATAACAATTTATTGCACTTTAGCAAACAGACCAAACACATCGTGTGTGAGTATGAGCTCACTGTAAGAGGATATTTTACCATTATCTGTTCCAGTAACACTAAAAACAATAAACATTACACACCTGGAGTTGCAGTTCAGGGACATGTAAAAGGCTCTGTTGATCAGACTGTATTTCTGGATGAGAACAACATTTGGAAGGCTGTATCTGTGGATGGTGCCAGACTCACGTGCCTATGCGGACAAAAACTCTTTCATTAGAATCTTGATCCATTGTTTGGGTTCAAATTCTTTGGTAACAACAGGGAGATACGTACCACCACCAGGGTTTTATCCGTTGCTGTAATGCAACAGATGGGGTCTCGAGTGGCCTGATGGAAAAAAAAAACACATGTAAGTCCATGTTTTTATGCACTTATTGATTGGTTGTTTAACAATTTCCTTCTCAGTCCTGTGATAGATGGTGTGAAACGGTCTTTCTGAGCCAAATTTTGTGAAGTTTTGGTGCACTAAATGCCTTAAAAGAGTCTCTTCAGTCTGACTGTGTTTTAAAGTCATTGCAAGGGATTAAATTAAAGAATGATTTCTTACTGGGAGGCTTTTTTCTGAATTCTGACCGCTGTCATTGGCTCCAGAGGGACTGCCGTCGATGTGATAGACCCTAAAGAGGAAAGAAGCGGGAACACGTGAGAAAGCCCACAGACGGGCAAACGCCCATTCCCATCACGACTTGTGGTCCGAGTGCGAGGATTGTCCTGGCGGAACATCAGATCACGCCCAGCCAGTCTGGAACCTCCGTGGCACCTCATTCAGATGAATGAGTCCTTTTCATTGTAGTGTCATGGCCAACACTTCACACTGAAACGGTGAGCCAAGGCAGCCAGCGTTTCACCTACTGACTCACAAAACCTCGCACTGTGGTGCTCCTGAAAGTTTTCAGTGAGCCGAGGATGCGTTCTGGGGTGTGCTTTCGGTAATATTCTTCTAATGAATGATGACATTTAAGAGAACTGGAAACATCTATATATGTTGGAACACTTACCTCTCCCTCCCTCCCTTCTTTGTTCTGGTAACCTGGTTGATCTCCAGGGCTGTCAGTTTCTTTGCCACTCTGTACTGCCACAAGTAAAAAACGTCCTTGGATGCAGCAATGACGTGTGTCTTCGTCATGGTAACAAACAGTGGATCTGAGCAAGAAAAAAGAAAGTAGAAAAATTAATTGCAAAAGTAGCTAATAATGAATTATGATTATCAGTCTGATTGACTATACTGTATATGCACTAACACAGATTCGTAAATATTTTTCATCATTCATTTTGTCAGGGTTTAATTCATCAGGCAGAAGTCCCTAAAGGAAAACACTGTTTTTTCTTAAATTGTGGGACTTTTCCCTGACTCGCCTTATTGTGTGGCCAGAAAAAAAGAACCCTCAACACAACCCCCAATACATTCTCCTACTATTTGCAAAGTTTAGATATCCTAAATCCATGCAAGAGTCCTGGGCCTTCCAAACATGAAGGACTGTTTTCTCTCAGCACTGTGATCTTTCCTTTAGAAACACCCTGTGTGCTTGGCTAAAGTAAACTGCGGGCTGATGATCGAACTGTGGCCAGAGACAGGATGCCAACTCCTGTTTTTGTACACAGTGTGTTCCCTCACATTGTCCTCAAGAGCTCTGGTCCACTCAGGACTGGGATAATTCCAGTCTTCACTTCATTTTTATACCCACGTACACTCACAGGGTCTACATGATATGAAAGCAAACATAATAATAGCTGCCAGGAGACTCTCAGAAATAACCATTTGTAACTCACCAATGTTGATGTATTTTGAGTCCAGCGGAGTTCCAATGGAGTTGCACAGAATAAGGACATACTGCAAAAAACACAACAGAGGGATTTTATTCAACAAGTTACTGTCTGTACAATAAGTCAGGACACATGTTATCCTTTTCCTCTCTTACCTTTGCAGGACTCACACCCTCACACCCAGCATCCTCCTGTGAGCCAACAAATAAGAAAAACAGAAGGCAAAAAAACAGAAATACATTTCTTATCCCATTTCTCAAACAGCAGTCTCAAAAGCATTCAGATTCTGTTGTATTTTCTACCTGAGGTTGTGTTTCATCTGCTTTGCTGGCCAAGATGCAGAAGTCTCCAGAGGTAGTGATAGACATCAAGCTTTTGACATATTTGACAAACTTCTCGTTGTTTTTGGTGTCCCAGAATACAACACAGTGCTCCTGGCGCTCTGGCTTTGTGTAGGCGTACACCACCGTGCTGCAGCAGTAGCCCCACTGTGAAAAAACACCATCAACTTCACCCAAACTTTGAAGGAAGGACATGTGTCCACACATATAATATTACTGACATCTATACATAAATTTACTTGGAAAAAAATCGGGGTCATTTACTCTGAAGGTGAAATAAGATGTATTTCAGACCTTTACATGATTTACCACTAACACACTCACGTTTATACATAGGACAGTGTGAATGGTGGGTAAAACGTGTACCTTATAATCTGGTCTGATGTTGGCAAAGTAGATGTGGGAGTCCACGGCCAGGCCGATTCGCAGCCCTCCTCCCTCCCAGCCTACCCCTGACATCTGCTTCCCAGGAACCTTGAGAGTTCTTAGATGCTATTCAGACACAGAGGGCAACTGACAGTGCATCTGTTCACATCATCATCTCTAAGCATGTTGAGAGCATTACTGCTGAAACTGAGAGTATGAGGTTTTATTTCTGGTCATGAGACAATTGTATAACGTATTTATTTTACTTTTAACTGAACAAAATAGACTGTTAAAGACATATTTTAAGAATGCATTTTGGAAAATTGCTTCTCTTAACTAAAACTGTAAAGCAAAAACGTAATGTTATACATATAACTACTGTCCCCTTACAGTCACACACAAAATTTAATAGAGAAAAATCTCACCTCTCCAAAAGGAGTGTAGAACTGCACTACATTAAATTCTTTCTCTTTATTTGAGGCTCGAAGGGATCCAGCCACTGCCAACACACTGCCACAGTGGTTCCACTGGATACTGACCACATTCATCAACGTGTCGATGCACACCGGCTCTGGTGATAATGATAAAAACGTATGAGCAGTTTAGAAAACATCCCTTTTAATGACATCCTTGGTAGGGTTACTTTGTATCCTTACTTTCATCATTCTCGAAACGCATGATCTGACATCTTCCATTGTCGTAACATATGGCAAGACACGGACAGTCTGGTTCAACATAGCCTCTGGTTCCTGCATACCAGTGAATACCAGCTATGCTGACCGCTCCATTCGCAGCTGTGAGACAGCTGATGGTCATTTTCATCTGAAACATCACACATATTACGACAAATCTATTCACCTGTAGGACACTTCAGAACACATATGCTGAAACAGCAATCACCTCATTTTAAGTGAAGCAAAGATACACTTACTATGAAGTTTCCTTGATTGTCGTAGATGTGCACTTCCCCGCTGACCATCCCAAAGAGGAGGATCTTGCTGTCAGGTGACCATGCTACATGAGCAAGCTGACTTCCCTTTAGCTCCTTTCCCCAAATCCGGTTTCCTAAAAGCAAATAAATGAAATATTACATCTGTTCAAAGTAGGGATTGTAAAGGAACATATTTTGATCTGAAGTAATACTCTTTTTTTAGGGTAATTGTACCATCAACAGATCCAACAATGACCGCTCCATCTTCATACACTATGCAGATCTTTTGGCCATCAGCGTTCCAGCTCATGCTCCTCACCACTGACTTGTTTCGGTTGTTGATCATCTCTTCGTACCACGCACCTCAACAAGGAACAAATACAATTTTAAAAAACTAAAAAGCCCAAACTCCCTACAAATTAGCTTTTAGTTTAGCTTAACTGCAGTTCTCACCTTTGTATAGCATCCACACAATTATGAGCCCCGTTTCATCACTGGTGGTCAGTTTCTCGTACTGCTCGTTCCATGTCACCACTTGCACTGCACCTGCATGTTTAAATCATACAAAAATAATGCTTTAAAAACTAACTCTAGATAAGAATAGTGTTTTTTGCGATCCAAGCTAAAAGATCCATAAAGGTTTTATGCAGTGAAAAAGGATTCAGATAAAAATAAATCAAAGTCAAATGTTTTGAACACTTGTAGCACGTTATTGTACTGGCACAGAGAAAGACATCACATGACTTGCCGGCCTCTTTAGAATTGCAAGGTTCCCCGCTATTTTTTGCTTAATAACACAAAATAAACTTTAATTTTTCCTCTTTTGTTGTTGGGTGTACAAACTGCCCAATACAGTGGACTATTAGCATGGACTCAACAGTCAAGTATCGATAATGTGTTGGCAATCAATAGCACAAATGGGAATTATTACCAAAAATAAATCTCCCAAATGTTTAAATAATATCATATGTGTGACTTTGTTCAAACATTGTAGCAGATCCAGTGCTTAACAAAACACATAAGTTAGTCTAAATTTGACTGAGGATTAATGGGGCAAACTGTAACAGCACTGGACAAAAACAGATTGTTTTTTTGTCTTATAGTTTTGTCATCGTACTGCAGCCCCTGTTTACTGTTGTGCACCACCTGAATGGTCTTTCTAATCGTTGCTCAATCTCACAACAGCGAGAGAACTGGCAAAGACTCACCAATGTGCCCCTCTAGGGTTTGGTTCATAGATAGGTTACTGGGTGCAGCAAGGCCTTTCAGTTTAGCATCATCTGTGGACAAAGAACCGTAAAGAACATGTATTATCCTTCAATGTTTATCTCTTACACAACACAACACAACAATAGCAAGTCTGTCCAGTCGACAGAGTTCTACCAGTAGGAACCAGGAACCGGAGAGGAGCCAAAACACTGATTACATTTTATACTGATTTCCTTCAAAACTGTAAAAACAATAGTTTCAAATACCTTCAAATCTAAATCACAAGTGTAATACAACTTGCAGAGACACTTTCACATATGAAGAGGCTAAAGATATGGCACATTCATTTTATTTTTAGCAATATAATTAAGTAAAAAACTGTAAACTGTTGATTTTACCATCAAAACCCCACATACAACAAAGGTGGCTCACAGGTTCATAATCGTACCTGTCTGAGTTTCAAGCTTGAGCACTTTTAGGAGAGCCTCATCTCCTCCACAGGCGATAAATCCCTGGTCTTTGTTCCAAGACACACATTTGAGTGGGATATTGTTTGGGATAGCGATCTAAAAGTCACATAAAATGACAGCCACGTTGCAATAAACATTTGGACTTTTCTGGCATGTTAATGTGTAGTCACACTGCTCACCTTCTTACTGAGATAAATGAACATGATGGCGGCAATATTAATAGTTTACAGCATAGTTATACTTGTGATTACAAAATAACTTAACTCGATAAGGAATGAAAGCCTTTAAAACGAATATTTTTGACGTAAATCACTGGGCCTTTAGACAAATTTGGCGTTTACGTTAGCCTGAACCGTTAGCTTAGCTTATTAACGTTAAGTATGGAAACCCGAACAAAATGATAACTTTATAGATTCGCATGCTAAAAAGGCTTGGTTTCCGAAAATACTTTTAGCAGCAGCAAAGCAAAACTGTTTAAATACGACGTTTCATTGCTTCAGTTGCCAGGCCTGAAAACTCTGCGCTTCCCCCCGTCTCCCGTGGTAACCGTAAACCGGAAGCGTTAAACCTGAGGTCCCCTGGTTGTTGTAGTTTTTTGTTTGAAACTTTTCAGGTGTACATTCTTCCTCGCCTCCGAGACGCATACAGTAGGCTAAAATTGTTTTTTCAATTCCATGGAAAAATATTTTCAAATATAATGTATAAATAAACTATGTAACGAATTAACCAAGTCAGCTGATGCACTAGCATTGTTTAAACAAATAACAAACAATCCGGCTAGGAAGCTGTTTTAAATAGAATCTATGAAAAGTTTGTTGCTCGCAGTCTGTCACAATACCTATAGCAGCTGACTAAAGATACTGTAAGGCCTGATGCAGAGGCTTATTTAGCCTGTTCCTATATGAAGCTCAACAAATAACTACTGAGCTAATTACACTTTTGCAGCTCAATTATTAAAACCTTAAAAAAACGTAACCTGAAATGTATGTGAACCATCATTTTAAAAACTTGACATACCTTTTCTATAATCACAAAGACACAATTCAACTTATGTGTATATTCCACTGTTACATGATGTTTATTTTACAAATACAGCTATTTTTCATTCAGAAAACAGACACAAGTTTACTTCTAATTCAAAAGCAGTAAAACATATGCACATATTGTTGCACACACAGACCAGTGTTAAATCAGGACAGTACAAGCGTAGAACTGTTGTGTAAAGATAATACTGACCTCTTGAAATATTGCAAAAAAATGTATACATTTATTTTAAAAAGATATGCTATGGCCAGACAGCTGCAGGAAAAAACAAAAAAGGTCACTCCCAAGTTGCATTCAAACCCTCTGAATTGTTTCCTTCCCTCGAAAAAAATACCTGCTTGTGGTAAAATAATCAGTAATCACCAATGGCAGTTGTTTAAGGCATTTTTAAAACACAAATTCTCATATCAGAGACAAGGATTCTAGCATTTCAGTGTTATGTAATAGGCCTGTTTGGATAAATGTCTGGCAAAGCCCTTTTGTTTAATTCTGCAATATGACGTGAAAACAACACTCTTATTGGACAAGAGATCAGGTGCTGAGCTATTGGGATGAAAGGAAGCTTTGTATCATGGAACTGCACGTAAAAAGGGTTTACAGAGCTGTGAGTGCACAAAAAGAGAGGAATACAACAGCAACACACTCCAAAGAAAGCAAACATTCACCATGAAACAGGAAATTCTGTTGAAAAATGAATAGTTCTAAAAGTTTCCCAAAGTCATGACATCTATTTGGAATCTGAAGTCATTACTTAAACTTGATGAGGGGAAAAAAGGTCTTTCATTTATGTATTTAGGTGTAAACATTTACACATGTCATGCTGAGGAAGGAGCAGACTGAGCACTAAATACAGGTTCATGACAAGGGCAACACAGCTACCATCAGTAAAACTGATAAAAACTGAATACCACATATATTTTCAATTAAAAATTTAGAGACGACGATTTCCTCTGGCTGAGTACACTGACATTCGGATGGTATCCGAGGTATTATTGCAGAAGGTCAACTTCAAATGAGCTCACTTTGTTTGAAAGTTCTTCAAGTGATCAGATTGTTAAGGAAATTAAATTCACTTATTCCTGTTTATCATAATAGGTAATAACACATTAAGGCATTTAGATTTACCCCAGATGACACAATGAAACATTTGTAATCATTCTTATATAGCAAATTGTTGTAAAAGGTAAAGGATATGTTTCCTGTTCAGTTCCTGAATGCTTGACTGCACTTTTTTCTGGAATACAATCTGAGCTTCACACATGCAGGCATCTTCAGATATTTCACTTCGCAATTCCTCTGAAATGATATAACAAAAAGGAAAAGAGCATGAATGAGGTGTATGACAGGACTGTGTCTTCTTTTGGCTAAAATAAAAAAAACAAAAAATGATATTTCTCTTTTAGGCAGCACTCAAAAGATAAATCAGATCAAAGTTAGGCGTTATTTCGAAGGAAAATTGTAACAGATCGCTTTCCACACACTATTAGTTAAAATTGTGATTTGGTTTGTGAGTTATATAAATCATCCAATCTTCACCCCAGAGTGTTTATTTATAGGAGTCCGTATCATGCAGCTTTGAGATAAGTTAAGATCAGTTCAATCAAACACAACTTAGCCGGAAAATAAAACTATGGAGAAAGCAACATTCAGATGAAATCAGAATGTTTTTGGTTCTCGCTTTTAGTTCTGAATGGATCCAGAGTATCCGTTCTTACAACAGCACAGTAAATGTCTTTAGTCTAAACTGTGCTGAGCAGTAGCAGGACTGCTTGTCGCTGGACTTGGAGGACTTGGTTACAGCCAGATGCAGACTTTCACACAACTGGGGAATGCAAAAGAAATGCAGAACAATGTATTAATGTATACAAATATATCAACATGATCAAAATCACACCACTAGAAATCAAACTGAAGTTACACGTTAATATCTAAAACTAAAGATGTGTAGAATTCCAATCTTTACGATATACTTGGCTTTATTTTGTCTAGGTATTACAAGAGTGCTGGATTTCTTAATTTAACATCAGCTGGATGTCGACTAACACCACCCAGAACAAAACCTATTTGCATCCTGTTTGACTACTTGGTGGAGCTCTTTTTAAACATACTATACTCTTTTGATATTTTGATGCCATTAACTGTCATTCAAACCAAGAGTGAAAAATACTCTCATTTTAATTGCCTATTTCTAATGGAAATTAGAAGTAAATTAATCCAAATTAAGAATTAATGTCCTTCAGTGTAGTATCACATCCAGCTAAAAGACCTATAGTCAGTTGTTTTTTTCCATTTCCAGCTAAATTCAAAGTTCAAAATGGATTTGTTGGATTAAATGTGTTGATTCGTTCGCTCCTCTCTGGAAATCCGCAGGTGCAGCTCTGGTCAGAATGCAAACAAAGATGACCTCCAGCTACTGTCACAAAAAAAAACTTAATGTATCACATTTCTATACTGAAAATGTTTTATTTCTGTCTGATAACATAAGATTAATATTTTAACACACACGTTCATTCATTTACATAAAAAATACAAGAAATAGCTCTTCAGCAAATTTCACCTCAAATCAGTTTGTAGAAGAATATCACATATACACACATGTCCCTACTCACACACACTATAACCATAAAGGCCTAAACAGACATTTTCCCAATTGTTTTTCAAAATCACTTTTTCTGACTCAGGACACAGCTCGCGTGTGATTGGATGAGCAGAAGAAAGCGTTTGCTTTGTGAAGTATCCCTGTCACTACAGACTGGACCTCAGTCTGTCGTTCCAGTTGTGACCAAACCAGGAAAAAACCCGGAGAATTCATGAAGCATCCCGGTAGCCTTAGTAACAAAACAGACAGATAACAGTAATAATGTTGAGAGGGCTTTTCTTACGTGAGCACGTTTTCTTATCCACGTTCAGCACGTATCCCACCCGGCACCTGCAGACGTACGAGTTCCCGCTGTTCACACACGTGTGCTGGCAGTCATGTCCTTGAGCACATGCATCTGAGCCTGAAATGAGAAGCTCGTTCGTTAGCAACACACCGCATAACTGTCAGATTCAGAGCGACTGGAATCAGTCGGTAATTGAAAAAAGCTCTCTTAAAGTAGTGGTCAGGCCTGTTAACACCACAAAAAACAATCATGGATGGGATGAGCGATGAGGAATCCCCACTTTTGACACAAATGTGTTTCTGAAAAGAAACTTCCTTAGCTGATGATAAAATCCAAGAAGCTCAATTCCTATCGCTGGAAAACGAGACGTTACCACACTGAAAAACAGAGGAGAGGTCAAGCGCCTTATGGGATGTTTTACAGTTTGCATGCAGCATTGCATTTGCATACGTACAAGTCAGGCACAAATGGGCTGGCAGTCGTATCCACCTGCACATCTAAGCCTCAAAAGGAAGACTTTCACATCCTCCCGGCTAAATGTAATAATGTAAATTTTTGCTGATATTATGAAGCTCTTAAACAAGCCAACCTAAGGCTAAAAGGAAGGTCTTACGTGAGCACGTTTTCCTATCTGGATTCAACATATATCCGTCTCGACATTTGCAGCTGAACGAGCCATCACTGTTTACACAAATGTGTTGGCAATCATGCTCATTTCCACATGGATCAGAACCTGAAAAGAGACCATACATAATGTGATATCTCAAAATATCAGTGAAACTCAAGTCTTGGAGCCCTTGAATGCAATGATATGGACACACAAATCTGAACCTGAAAAGACACACTTCAACAGCTACCACTTACACCAACAAATCCAGATGAACACAAACGCATGCTTCATGTCTCAGTCTCCTGTTAACCAAACAAAGTGCACTCACACCTTTAAAAGAGAAGGTTATCTTACGTGAGCATGACTTTTGGTCTGAATTTAACATATATCCCGCTTGGCATTTGCAGATATATGAGTCACCATTGTTTTCACAAATGTGCTGGCAATCATGTCCATGGGCGCATGGATCAGAACCTGAAAAGAGACACATCAGCATGTATCTGATACCTAAGGACATCAGGTACATGGAGGCTGGACTGTAATATACTCTGTTTGCCATTGTTCAGGTTTAAGAACAAGATCAATGCAGGTTGTTCATAGGTCAAGTGAAACTAAGACAACCAGGACTCTTCCATATGGTTCCTAACCGTGAAATAAGTCCTTGTAAGAAAATAAGAAAGTCTTTTTTTCCAGTTTTCATGAGTCAATTTCTGATGAGGCCACCAGTTGATGGATCATTTGCTGGAGTTCCTTCTCTTTCTTAAGGAAGACTCTATTCATTGGTCATGAATAGAGTTTACCAGGTAGGAAATGGATGGATGGATTTATCGCTTAGAGCTGAGAAGTAAAAACATTTCTCTGAAAATGATCAGGAACAAAGCCTAAAAAATAAAAAATAAATGTCCCAAAAAAGCTTTGAAAGACTTTCAACCATTAGAACTACTACACTGTCAAAGTTTAAAAGAACATCTACTAAATAGGGAAAAAAACTTTAAATAAAAGATGCCAGGAGCCCCTGCACCGGGAAAATAAATGAAAGCCAAATGACTGATAACTACATAAAACTACTCAGTTACAAAAATAACTCCTCCCATTAAACTATCACTATTAAATATGTGTCTGATAAACCATAAAAAATGCACACAGAGATGGTATAAAATATTCTTACGTGAACACGTTTTGTTGTCTGCATTCAACAAATATCCACTGTGACACATGCAGATATTAGAATCACCATTTTTAACACAAATTTGTTGGCAGTCATGTCCGTGGGAACATGTGTCCACACCTGAAAAGGAAAGCTTCAACATGAACCAAATAAAACGGCTCTTAGCGCATGCATATCAACATCTTAGAAACCTCCAGTCCTGCCTGACACCACACAGACAGCAAACAAACTCTGGGGCTTACGTGAGCACGTTTTCTGGTCTGCGTTCAACACAAATCCCTCTCGACATTTGCAGACATACGAGTCGCCATTGCTCAGACAAATATGCTGGCAGTCGTGTCCTTGTGCACACATATCTGAACCTGAAAAGAGACACTTCCAAGTCTAAAACAACAGTCTAAGTGGAAAAGTGACCACCTGACTTCTGTGGGGAGTTTGCCCCAACTAAACAATACTTTAAAAAGCTAATAAACCATAGATTCAAACTTTGCAAGAGTATAAACATAACCTGAAATTGTTTATTACCCCATTAAGTCAGCTTCAACTCGGTTTAAAGACTTTTTGAATTTTTATTATAACTGGTCACTTCTGCATTGAGCTGTTACTTTTCCTCCAATAAACCAATTTCAAACAGATTTGACTTAAACACATAATCCTGCACATATATTTTAATTTACAGTTAAAACAAATATTAGGGAGTTGAGTTAAACCAACACTAACTTATATTCTCTGCAAAGAGATGGAGCTTTTTTTTATCCTGCCCATAATCAAATTCATATTGATATGATAGAAAAGCCTCACACTAAGTTGAAGCCAGTAAATAGTATAAAAGACTTAAGGGCTGTCACATACATATGAATAGCATACTAGGATAAAAATGACCTACAATTTTACAAGATAAAGTACAAGAGACATTTAAATCTCATCTTAATTCCAAGTAAATGCTGAGATTTTACATGCTTCTGAAATATTTATGGTTATGTTTGGCCTGTATAAAGCACAGCTACATCAAGTATATATTCAATGGTGGGTGTAATCTATCCTATTCATGTCTGCAAATAAAAAAGTTTTCATTCTTTCTATAATTTTGCTCTTTGTGACATTGGTTTCGGTATACATAACTTTTTACACTTTTTCTAGCTGCCTTTAAGTGTACTTGCTTCATTTGTACTTACGTGAGCATGATTTCTGGTCGGCATTCAGCCTGTATCCCGTGCGACACTTGCAGATGTGCGAGTCGCCGCTGTTGATACAAATGTGCTGGCAGCCGTGCCCACTGGCACAAGAAACCGAACCTGGAAAGAAAGAAAGTCCCACATGAAACCAACACGGTTTTCGGGAGACAATAGCGAGGAATTTTGCTTTTAAATATTGGTGCTAATCATCAATTTGGGCTTTCACCATGCCCTGCTTACATAATTTGTACTGAATGGTGTCCGCCAAACTATTTGGGGCAAGCCAAAACATTTGCAACAAGAGTAACAAGTGACAAGTATGCAGTCTCAACAACCCCATGTAGGGAGTCTGGATTTCCATTGTTCCATCTACATTACGATTCAATAAAATATATTTTTTCTTTCTATATAATTCCAGATAAAAATCTATCAACATTCAGTAAAAATGTGATGCTTAACTTTTTGGTTGTGAATACTTTTAGAAGGTGAATGGCACTGTGGGTTTTTCAGACAAAAGAGATTTAGAAGATAAAGAAAAGTGTTCTTACGTGAGCATGTTTTCTCGTCTGGGTTCAGAACATAACCTGGACGACACGCGCAGTTGTAGGAGTTCCCACTATTGACACAAATATGCTGGCAATTGTGTCCCTGAGCACATGGATCCAAACCTGAAAGGCAACACTCGTTTTTCTCATTGGCTTAGGCTGGGGGAAATCATTCATTTGGTGTTGAGCCTCTGTGTTAGCGGGTTTGTGAGTGGTTGTACAATCTACCACATGCAGGTTATTGAAGGATCTCTGTGATTGAATTTCAATGATGTTACATTGATTTTTTCTTCTCAAATTGATAATTTGTTGGGATTTTTTCTTGAAAAATCTGGCACACAGCTCAAAATCACTGTTTTTTTACAACAATTGTGTGTCCTTGGTCAGGCCATCACAGTTGCTGTTAAACTAGTTAAACTTAGTGAAACACAGAGAATTGTTAATTACACTTGATATTTCAATCACATATTTGAAAACAAACTTTCCCACCAAACATGCATTGAGAAAGTTTCAGGAGTAGCACATGCAGCCTTAAGCCCGCTATTTTGGGTGGTACCAAAGGTTGGAAAGTCATATGTAAATAAGAACACATATTTAGATTGTGAAAACTGTGTTTCTCTTGGAAACATTTGCATTCTTTCCCATAATTGTATACTAACATAAGAAAGGTCACTGTTGTTCTCCAACATGACCTACTGCTGTGAACTAAAATTTTGTGCCATGACTTAACTGTTGGAATTTATTATGAAAAATAAATGGTAAACAATTTTTAAATGGTAAAAATAAACGGTAAAGAACTGGTACTGTATCTAGTGGTAGACGTGCAGATTGCAACCAATTGAAGAACCTTCTCATTCACCTGAACCCTGGGACATTTTTGGGACTATGTTATTATTAAAGATGAAATCATACTTTCATTCTAAAACCAACCTTCTTCTTTCCCACCTTTGATATCACCCAAATTAATCTTAGCCCGATGTGTTTGGGTTAGATCAGGAAGTATTGTAATATGTGTCCAACACATATAAAAACAAATTGCATAACTTTTTCCCCCCAAACCTACAAAGATTCAACATATATACTTTGTACAACATATAACCTGACCTATAGAAAACCTTGTTGGGAGTTTTGAAAATTCAAAACATTGTGGAGAGACCCAATCTGTAACTTCAAGCCTTGTGCTAAGGTATGCTAACTGTTAGCTTAAGATATGTGAGAAAGTATATGAGAAAGCATTGAATATATATGTCCACCTAAAAAACATTTCAGTCACCTTCAGTACAGTCCTGTTGAAGGGTTTCTGTGCATTATAATGGCTGTTAAACCCTTGCAGAAGCCCTAAGTGGCGACTAGCTTAGCGCGCCTCCAGCTAACTGAGCGCGGCGCATTCGGCATGCAGCACAAAATGCAGAGCAGCCAGTCTGACTCAGACTGCACTTCCTGTGAACAATTCAGACAGCATCATACTGGGTTTCAAACATTTTAAAGGATGTTGAGTTTTTGCTGAGTCAGCACACGATCAGAATTGTGTCCCCTTCTTTTAATTGGTTAGTGTCGAATGCTCAGATGAATTCAATGCTAAATATCACTCAACTTTTTTACCATTAATATGGTATAACAGTTGGGTACATATATCAAATTACAACAAGTCTTGGTAAACCACGGGTTACCATAGTCTTGTTTTCAAAGTAAAAAAAAAAAAGAGGACTTCTGACTTTAGAATGAAGATTCCCTCTATGGTGCTGCCCAGGTGATGATCACAGGTGAGTATAAGAGGATGGATCTGACCTACCATTGTTTCCTGTATCGTCATGTTCATTATCTGTTCCATTTCCATTTTTCCTGTCATTTAGGTCTAGTCCCTTATCATCAATGCGGTCATCTACCGGAATATCTGCGCTCCCATTATCATCATCCTTACCACACAAGGTTTCTCTAAATTTGGACGTGAGCTTCTCTATGACACCGTAGGTTTCCACATAGAGGACATGGTCGTCGTGGGGGTGGCTGGCCATGAGCCGGAGAGAGGCCAGGTCGGCTCTGTCCACTCCCACCGCGTAGATCTCGATCCCGGAGGCCCGGGCTGCGGCTGAAACCTCCTCCACCTTGTCCTGAGGCCTCCCGTCGGTCACTATGATGGCCACCTTGGCTATGTTCATGGAGCCCGCTCGGGCCCCGGCCTCCTTGGTGAAGGCCTTCTCCATGGCGGTCTTGATGGCCATGCCCGTCATGGTGCCCGAGGCCAGCGGCTCGACGCGAGACAGGGCCTGCTTCAGGGAGGACTTGTCGACATACGTGTTGAGCAGAAACTCGATCTGCACCGTGCTGGCGTAATTGACCAGGCCGACTCGAGTGGCGTCGGACCCGATCGCCAAGCTGTCCACCGTGTCCTGCAGGAATTCCTTGGCCTTTTCGAACTCAGCGGGACGCACGCTGCGGGAGCTGTCTATGATGAAGACCAGGTCTATGGGTTTGTTTCTGCAATTGGATCTTGCTGCTGTTTGAGAAAAAGAACAGAAAATTACAAAAAACGTGTTCAAGTTTTATGGGAGATATCATATCTTAAGTTTTTCTTTTTGTTATACGGAAAAACTGACTGACACACACAGATCGGGATATTTTTGGCCCTCAAAAGTGTATTACTTGGTTGTTTTAGGGTTTCTCTCTAAAATCTTTCTAAACTCTTTGATGTGAAACAAAATTCATGGTCATCTATCCAATCCAAAATAGCTGCTCCTGAGATGGGCAAGAGTCCAACAGCCCAAAAATTCCCCACTAACAAATGAATTTCTGTACCAAAACTAGAGACTCCACATTAGATATTGTGATATAAATACATTTGCGTGATTTCCAATAAAAAAGAGAATAATGATTGTATCTCTTGGTTCAAAATGTTACTAGAAACTTCTTCTTCCGCCAACCCATAGAGAATTTTACCCCCTTTCAATTTCAGAGTACTTTCCGTTGTATAAATCATTGCAAAATGATTATTCAAATGCATTATTTCCGGATAGAGGCTTACAGATAAGGCCACCTCTTAGTCCCCTATCTTCAGTTTAGGAATGTTTTGGTCCAGGCTCCGTACCTGCACCGGTTCTGATGGACGACGGAGAACCTCTGGAGTCCCGAGCAGGCTGCCAGGACTCAGACGGTGCCGTCTCCTGCTGACTGAGGGAGAAGTGCCGGGCTCTGAGGGGCGGCTGGCGGTGAGAGGGCTGATAGCGATGGAAACTGGGTGTAGTGCCATCAGCTATGCCAAACAGGACAAAAGGAGGGAGAGGCTGGCTTGAATGAAGGCCGGGAAACCAGAAACTATCTTTCAATTTTTCATTTGATTGATGTTTTCCTTCTCACCCTGGTCACTAACTTTTTGAAACTCTCCCCTCTGGCAGAAGGTTGAGGACCATCAGGACCAAAACCTCACGCTATAAAGACAGTTTTTATCCAGCAGCAACTGGCCTCATCAACAAGGCCAGCGACCCCCACCTATTCTTCTCCCCACCCCCTCTACCTCACTAATTTACCCAATGCTTTCAGCATTTTCTGGTCTGTCGTTGCAGATCAACATTGCACATTTCAATTGTTCATTTGTACATTCGGATCTATATTTTTAAAGATTGTTCATTTGTACATTCGGATCTATATTTTTTAAAGATTGTATTTTTCAGTTTTATCATTTCTGTCCTATATTTTTATTTCTACGTTTTATTTCTTGCTTCTCATAGAAGTGTTGTGTTGTGCACCAAACACCAAGGCAAATTCCTTGTAAGTCTAAAAACCTACTTGGCAATAAACCTTATTCTGATTCTGATTCTGATTCTGATCATTTAACCAAAAGGATATAACCAAAAATACTGTACAGCCTACTAACAGTGTCTTTACTTAGACTGGAAGTTATAAACCTTATGGGAGTTTAATAAAAGTCAGTTTTGAGGGAAATGTTAGTACAGCAGGTACATGCTGACATCTACCAACAAACCTTCACCCAAACGTCTCCGTCCCTCGTGCGTTTGGTGCTTTTTGGCACCTGCTCGCGCGCCCTGCAGCCGCTCGAAGCTGTAATCGTCCTGCTGGTGGTCTTTGAAACTCTCTGCGCTGTGCGCCTCCACGGACGTCTGCTCGATGGATCCGAAATCGTCTGCGCGCTCGTAGACGCGCGCAGGGACCCGCGGGGGGAGCAGAGGACCCTCCGCGTGCACCTGCCCGCGTGCGCCCGCTCCCAGTAAGCCGATGAAGAGCACCAGCTCCCATGATGGGGGAACCATGTCCGGTGCGCAAAAGTGGTTTCTCTGTGATCCTCCTCCCGGGGTCCACTCACAACTCAATTTATATAAGCTGGTCCACGGCCACAAAAGGCGTGGGGACCAAGAGGTCCAATCCGGACACATTTGCCCCAAACTGAGGGTCAACACAGCCTCTGGAAGAAAAAAAAGGATCTGGAAAAATGTGTTGGGAGCTGTTTCCACACGTATGTCACACATACAGTGGGGGAAATAAGTATTTGAATGCAACAATCTATAACTCTATAACTTTAATCATATGTACATTCTAACAGTGAAAGACAGAATCCCAAAGAAAATTCCAGAAAATCACATCATATGAATTTATAAAAATTGATAATCTGATGAGGAAAAATAAGCATTCTTTGTAAGTGGGCAAACCTGCAAAATCAGCAAGGGTTCAAATACTTATTTCCCCCACTGTAAATTCTGTAGTCCTTTCTGCTGGATGGAGGATAGGTAAACCCAATATTTGCAGAGGCAAATATCTTTTGTTAGAACAGTAACCCTGCATTGCAAAAATCTGAGCGTTCCATTTTTCTTTTGTCAGAAAGATGAAAGCTAAGTTGAATCAGTTCCTGAATTAAACTTAAACACAGATAGAGCAAAAGTAATATTGGGTACTATTCACGCAAGCCCAAAGTCAAGATTTGAAACAGGAACTTTTATTCTTAAATACATTCTGAGCATTCCTCAACAAGCTTTTTATTCTTTATTTAGGCAGTCTTCAGAAATAGATTTTCATTTAGAAAGACACCCCAAAGTGTTTCTTTTTTATGTTTTCAACTTCTTGTTCTCTTCTCTGTCAAAATGATTCCACCTTGCTTCAAGAAAGAAAGAGAATATATTAAGACTTTCCCTCTACACTGTATAGCTTGCTAAATCAAAACCATGTATTTATTGTATTTGAAGGCAGATTGAGCTCAGTGTGGACACTCACAGTAGATGTACAGCACTGCCCCCTAGTGGACTTTGGATCAAATTGCACCACTGAGCTCTTAACTGAGGATGACAGCTACAGAAAAACATACCTATAACTAGTTTGACTGCTGGAGACAGACCATAATGAGGCGTGACAGTGAAATATTTGCACATAGATAGGAATAACGCCGTGTGAAACATTCAAATCACCCCAGTGTTTTTGTGCAGTTTGGGGATGTCCGCTGTCAACCATGCAAATGCTCAACCGTCCCATCCAAAGAGGGAACTTTATTTGAGGAACAGTTCACAGTGATCCGTACAAAGCCAACACGCTTTATTTTGTATTTCACACGTGCAAAATGTTTCTTTTAAGGTTACTCGTGAGCGTCACCTGTGTATTTCGGGGTTTCTTGAGTGATCATCCACTTCACGCGTACTCTCCTGGGGACATCATCATTGGAGGACTTTTCCCTATTCATTTAGAAAGAGGCAGATGCAACCCAACAAAGATGCCCTGCTGTGCTCAGTAAGTGTTTTCTCTCTCATTTTGTCAAAAAAAAAACAGTACTTTCTGAAATATCTCACAATTATGCCATTTTCCATAGGTACAGTGTCCAAATGTTCCTTCGCAGTCAAGTGATGGTACATGCCATCCAAGAAATAAACCGGCGCACACCGAGAGTGCTGCCGGGCCTCACCCTCGGTTATGATATCTATGACACATGTGGAGATGTCAGCTATGCCATCCGAGCAGCTCTGGAGCTGTTGGAGAAGGAGCCGGACACTCAGACGTGTCTTCTACCTTCAAAGTTCTACTCAGCCATGCCCGAGCCCAGGGCCAAAGTGGTGATTGGGGAAAGATACTCTGAAGTATCTATAGCTGTCGCACGGATCTTTACTTTGTCTTCAGTTCCCCAGGTTTGTTTCGTGTCTTTGTCTTATTAAAGTTTGAAACACATGAGCAATGTCTCATATGAGAGTTAATGTATACTAATTTAATGTGTACTTTAATGTATACAGTATACTAACCTGTTTTTTTATTTAACTCTTGTACATCCTGCTCAACCATTGGTTGGAGCACTTTTTTCACTGATTAAACTCAGTCAGGATAAACTGGAGGAAGTGCACTTACCTAAAAATTAAGCAAAAGTTATAACATGTGTTTTTTTCAAAATTAACACTTGTACCATAGATTGTCACTTTAAATCGATTTTGGTCGTCATTTCATCCAAATAAATAAAGAAAAGGGCAAAGAATTATTTTTTTCCTCTTTTCTAAGTGTACATTCTAATGGCTTAAAAATATTCTAACATGATTAATTCCTGTTTTTTACAGATTAGCTATGCGTCAACGAGTGAACTTCTCAGCAAGAAGTTCAAGTTTCCCACTTTTCTGCGAACTGTTTCCAGTGACAAATTTCAGACAAAAGGCATTTCCACCATGATTAAGAGCTTTAACTGGAAAACGGTGGCCATCATAGGAAGTGATGACGAGTATGGGAAATACGGCAGTGACAGCCTCGACGAAACCTTAAGAGGAATGCAAGTCTGCATTGAGTTTGTGGAGATTCTCTCAGGCGACTTTACCCGCACCAATAGCAAGCTGCCAGAGCTGAAGAGCAAGCTGGAAAAATCCGTGGCGGAGGCCATCATCTTGTTCACAAAGGACGCCAATGTGGAAGTCATCATGGAGTTAGCGATCGAACGGAATCTCAACAGGACCTGGATAGCAAGTGACACATGGTCCACCTCTGACCGGATCTTCAGGTTAGAAAACATCCAGCGGGCTGGGCAGGTCTTTGGGTTCATCTTCAAGAGAAATGAGGTGCCTGGTTTTAAAGCCCATGTCACCTCAATGTTCGACAATGGGATCAACGCCATCATCCAGAATCACATGACTCGCTACCCACTCTGCTCAGACCAATCTGAGGAGGAAACAGCCCGTAACTGCTCCGGGGAGTGTTTGGATCCCCTTTGCTTGGCTTCTTTTATCGACCAGGATGAATCTTACAGCATTTATTTAGCTGTTCAGGTTGTGGCCGAGGGCCTCAGACAACTGCTGAAATGTGATAGCCAACGGTGTGAACGCAACACCAATTTCACAACCTCCGAGGTACAGTGCATGGATTCTACAAAACTGTGTTGCTACTTCAGACCTCACATGAGCGGATTTGCTTCTCTTGTTTGGACATTTGCTTAAATTTGTTGCACAAAAAATGACAGAGTGTTCTGAGAGGGGAAACAAAATGGAACGACTCATAACTTTGGCTTTATTCTTGACCACTAACTCATTTTAGATTATCGCCCAAAGTAAGAAAAAGTACAGTCAGAGATATTAGATTACATTTAGCTTGTTTTTGTGGGTTTAGTTAAGAAATAGTTGATTAGATTAGTTAGCTTTGCTTGAAAATGCATCAGTGTCATGAACATTTCACCAAGGTTTTGCCACTCTACGATAATAAGTTCATTTTACCCCTAATTAATTTTTTTTATTCTGCATATACAATCTCGTTTGAAACTATATTAAGGATAGCCTTGGAATTATCTAATTAATCAAAAGTTTAATTTCTATCTTAGAAGGACGTAGGGCCTTTCAAGATATTGAGTGACTTTTAAATGCACATCAGACACTTATTATTCTAGGAAAATTTGCATTTGAATGTTACTCTATGACTAAATATGTTATTCTACATACATTTTCTTCTGTTTATATTTGTCTCCACAGCTTCTGGAGGAACTCAAGAAAGTCAACTTCACAGTGAACAACACACAGTTGTACTTTAACGATGGAGACCCCAGTTTAGGATACGACATCGTCTACTGGAACACGTCCAATAAGGACGTCAAAATACAGACCATCGGAGAGTACTGGCCAAATGGATCAATCCAACTGCCAGAAGCTCTTCTGCAAAGAATGAACAAAGTCGACGTGAGATTAAACTTTGATCATCCCTTATTGTGAAACCATTTCTTTGTTTTAATCGTGCTTTTTTTTTTGCACTAATGGCATTGCTCTCTTTGAAGGTGACGCGTTTCAACTGCTCCAAAACATGCAACCCTGGAGAGATGCTGAAACAAACTGGGACAAAGTGCTGCACCCAATGTTTCAGATGCGCAGCTAAAGAGTTTTCCCCTGGAAATGGTCAGTATTTTTCATGACTCTAAACCCATTTTTTTGTTTTACCAAACGAAAAACAAAACATTGATGTGACTGTAGCCAGCTTGAACTATGAGACAATTCTGACCAGAATAGATAAACAAAATTGTTTTTTATTTGACTGTTTCTGCACACTGCGGATATATCCTTTGTAACAATGTGTGAGCACCAGAAAAGAATTAGGATTGGATGGTGGCTCAGCAAAGCCAAAACATCTCAGGGTTTAGCTGTAAGTGTCCTTTTAGATTTTAGTATTTAACCTGACATCATTCTTCAGGGACAGGAGGTGCCAAATAGAAGAAGAAATACCTGTGAATGTAAAAAGGGAAAGAATAAAAACACTTAAAATAGTGTATGGACAAATCCTCATTTCATGATGGCAAAACAACTTCTAATTTTCTTTCCTAATGCTTCTGGAATTGCTTGTGTTTCTTCAGGTACGGTGTGTAAAAAGTGTGGCGATAACCAGCACTCCCCGGATGTTGTCAGGGACCGGTGCTTAAACAACACTGATGACTTTCTCCAGTGGTGGGATCCCTTCTCCATCATCCTGAGCTGTTGGGCCGTCTGTGCCATAATCGTCACAATAGTGTTTACTGTTGTCTTCTTTCACTTTCGAGCCACGCCCATTGTGAAGGCGGTTGGAGGTTACTTGTGCTTCCTGGAGCTGGTGTCCCTCCTTTCCGGTTTCTGCCTCGTATTTACCTTCCTGGGAAAACCCCAGACCGACTCATCTTGTGTCGGCCTCCCTCTCTTTGGGATGTCCTTCTGTGTCTGTATCTCCTGCATTTTGGCCAACCTGCTCCAGATCTGGGTGGGCTTCAAATTCGACCTGGAGGCTCGTTCCTGGGTCAAGAGGCTCAACCAGCCGTTGGCCATCGTGCTGGTCTCCTCTGGAATCCAGCTGGCTCTGTCGGTGTCCTGGCTGACCGTGACACCTCCCGTTCTTACCAAGAATCCGGAAGAGCGCACCACTCTGCACCAGTGCGACATCGTGTCTGAGGGCTTTTTCTTTTCCGTGATCGCGTACGATGCTTTCGTGGCGATTCTGTGTTTTCTGTTTGCCATCAAAAGTAAAAAATTGCCAGATTTGTACAAAAACGCAGAGTTGGTCACCGTGGCGATGGTGCTGTTTCTTATCATTTGGATCATCTTCCTCCCGCTTTACGTCACCCTGAGGGGGAAGTACACGCCCGCCATTCAGTGTGCGGCCATCCTCATTTCGTGTTCCAGCATCCTTGGATGCCACTTGGCCCCCAAGTGTTACATCATGATATTCAGGAAGGAGCTCAATAATGAGAAAGCCATAACTGAGTACATCAGGAAGCACTACGCGCAAAAGGGCATCGCAGTGGTGCGGTCATGATGTCAAATGGTTTGAGGCAGTTACCTCTTAAAGGAACGATTATAGTTTGTTTCTTTTCAGCTGCAGTGTGAACTGTGTAAATTTAAATGGTTTAAATGTTGCATGTTATATAACTACAAGAACTAAAGCTAATATATAATATAATATACTTATATTCTTTCTTTTTTGGACATCGCTGTACATCAAAAGTGGTTCATTTACTTATTTTGAGGTGTTCACCTTTGGTCATTTCTGGGTTTGCTGCTATATTTCCTGATGTGAATGTCTATGCACAGCAGAGCAAATGAGAAAGATTTCATTTTGTTTGGTTGTTTCAGCATTTTGTCATATTCTTTAATCACCAGATAAAAGATAACATGAGAATCAAGACAATCTTTGAGAAAATTATTTAACTTATGCATCATATTCACCAGTTTGAATCTTCTCCTGAAACAGTTGACTTCAATGTGTCAACTTCATTAAATGTCTATTCGAAGATTCCTGAATTACAAACAGGGGCCGTAATGCCATATTCAGACACTAGAGGGGGCCCTGCAACCATCTCACTTTATTTCAATCGAGGATGTTAACGTTTGAACAAATGACGCAATAATGGGGCTCTCCGTGTAATGTTTTATTTAATAAAAAAATACAAAAATTTAAAGTTTCCATAGGAAAGCATTTTGAATATGCAATCCCGTCTCTTTCATATCCATTTTAAATGCAAAGGTGAAGTAGGGGTTTTGTTAATGTGTTCACAATTCCTCTACAAAGTTATAAAACAAAACAAAACAAACAGAGAAGAGGAGAGGTATAGTCTGCTTCTTGAGTCCCTGTGTTTGAAGTGTTAATCTTTAAGATGGCATTCAGTCTTCCTCCTGCAGTTACATGTATCAATCGCTCTATGCTTCTATATATCGAAGGCATCGGGATTCACATGGGACATGCAGTGATTCATGCAGGCACTTTTCTGCGAGATGTAACAGAAACAATGATTTTAAACACTGAAACTGCTTTCACATCAATGCCAATACAGAGTATATGTGGTTTTTAAAATGTTCAGGATTAACACCGTGAAAGGTTCTGTACCAAAGGGGACATCATGGAAAAGATATATAGCAGCCATAAGAGGAGAGTTAAAACACACTGCTGACCACCTAATGACTCTTTGATGTGGCTTCAGAAGTGGACCGCAGCCCCTGTGACACTGTGCTCGGAGCCCACAGAGACAGCCAGAGTGTGATTCAGCCTCGTTTCGTTGAGGGATGACCCCCTTGCTCCCATACAGAACACAAAATATGTACAACATGTGCCTCTCATTCTCCTTTCAAGTAACTGGCCTTGAAATGTCGCGTACAGTTGGAGCGGACAAAGAAAACTTTGTCCCGGTCTTTAAAGAAAGAAAAGGACAAATCTGAGAAGATTGCTACTTCCTACGGAATTTCTAAACCATGTGAGCGGGGCACGGCTTAGGCATGTCCAGGTTGGTCCCTCGGCCACAGCAGGCAGGCATTTCCAGCAGGGAGGGCTCCTCCACTGGGGCCGGCGGGCCCTGGGAGCAGATCTGCTGCACGTCTTGCCTGGAGAAAAGAAAAAAAAAAAAAAAAAAAACATTTACACACGAGTTCGACCCATTAAACTGGTCCTGACTCCTCTCAGCTGGTGTGTAATGGCGACTCACCAGGCATGGCGAGACATGACGTAGTGGATGCTGGGTCTCTGAAAGCCGTTGAAGGTGGAGGACGCCGCCACCGTGTAGGCGCCCATGTTCTCAAACACCAGCCAGTCGCCCACCTGCATGTCCGGCAGGTCGCACTGCTCCACGATGCGGTCCAGGCCGTCGCACGTTGGTCCCCAGATACTGCAGGGGTACATGGCCTCGTCCGGCTTCGGCTTCTGTTGGGAGTGATGGAGAAAGGAGGAGAGTTAAGGCCTGGACAAACCCACGTGGACAATATCAGACACTTAGTTCTGGTCACTTTTGCTAACCTTATGCAGCGTGGGCAAACAGTGGGCGTGGTCATACAATATGCAGTTGAAGGAGCCGTACACGCCGTCGTTGACGTAGTACATCAGAGTCCTGTCACTGGTGGCTTCATCTTCCTCTGTAGAAAAAAAAACGCATTTAAAAAAAATTGTTAGACCTGAAACATCGTTAAATATTCTAACGGGCTCAGAATGAGGGATATTACCATCAGAGGCCGAGTCGTCATCCACAATGACCTTCTTTGCAATGATGTTCACAACCAGCGTGTAGGCAGAAGCTACATAGAAGCGGCCAGGCTCAGCGATGACCTTAACTCCAGCGTCGGTGGGAAAGTACTTGTCGAGTGCTGGGTTAATCACTGCAGTTATCTACAAGGGAATAATAAAAATAAATCAATAAAAATAAACAGATCCAAGTTCTGCAAATGGGAGTTACCACATCTTGGTATACATTTAAAATAAAAAGGAGAAAATACCTCTTCAAATTTCAGTTCAGCGTCGTCTGAACCGGGAAAACCACCTCCGATGTCCAGCAGATCCATGTTGAAGCCAAAGTCTGCCTGTAGAACGCATCATTATTAGAAAACTCTCCTCGGGTCACAGTGCTTTTTGCACAACACAGCCACAACTCACCCCCATGTCGAAGACACAGCGGGCGTCTGCTATAGCCTTAGTGTAGGTGTCTGCGTCGGTGCAGCCGCTGCCGACGTGGAAGCTGACCCCGATCACGTCCAGCCCCAGCTCTTTGGCCCGCTCCAGAAGCCCCCGGCAGGCTTTGAGCGGGGCGCCGAACTTCACACTCAGACGGCAGACTGCCTTAGAGTCGTCTGTGGCAATACGCAGCACCAGCCTGGGAACAATACAACAAGACAAACGGTTCAAAAGCAAAGCAAAAAAAAAAGGAAAAAGGGAAAAAAAAGGGTCCGGCTAAAAGCCTTACTTGGCATTGTCATGGTAACGGGCCACTTTCATGAGCTCCACTTCACTATCAAAGGTCATCATCTGGACTCCGTGGGCTGATGCATACTTTATTTGGGAAACCTGCTTGCAGGGGTTTGCATAGATGATTCTGCTTGCTTCTACTCCCAGAGACTGAACCAACTGAATCTCTGTCTATAGGGTGACAACAGCCAGCGGAAACAGGTGTCAGTTCATCACCACGAGCTGCCAGAACTTTTTTTTTTCTTTTAAAGCACAGAAGGAGAGAGTGTCTGGAAAACTTCCTAAAACACACCTTGCTTGCGCAGTCAAAGCCAGCTCCCATGGATGCCAAAGTCATAACCACAGCCTGGCTGTCGTTGCACTTGACGGCGTAGAAAGGAGTGACCCGGGGCATGGCCCTCAGCCAGCGCCGGTGCTTCTTCACCACATCCCCCAGGTCACACACGTAGAAGGCATCCCTTTCATCCTGCAAGATGGAGAAAATAAGAAGAAATGCCACTTATTCACAAAAATCAAAGTGTTAATAGATAAAAACAGCCATAAATATTGGCTGTTAGTAATGTCGTAGATGTAACAGTAAACCACTTAGCATAAAATAACTTAAAAAGAAAGACAACTTAAGAAACTTTGCCAAAGCACAGGACACTTACGGTCAGGGATGACTCATTAATCTTCTGCTCCACAGTGTCCCGAGCAGAGAAACCCTCCTCCAGGAAAGAAAACTCAAAATCTCCAGTTTCTGTAGTGTTCATGGTGACTAGTCCTGTTGCGTTTTTGTCCTTAAACTGAAAAGAATGTGGAAAGGGGAACATTGTCACTTGAAGCTATGGCAACAGCCTGTTATGTGTTCTTAAAATAAAATAAAAAGCCCAAATCTGTCCTAAGGGGAATAATGAGATGATTGAACAAATTCAGACACTTACTTGGATATGAAAGAGATGGGATTTGGAATCTCTGACTCAGGTACAAACAAGCCAAGGTGGCTCACCGGTGAAGTTGAATCCTTTTAAATAAGACTCAAGGCCAGGCCCTGTTGAGCAGCCAAAGTGCAATTTTCCAGAGTGAGGATTCTGTAAAATAAGATGTTATTTTTAAATTCTGAATACCTTTTTTAGCAATTCACATTAATTTGAGTCATTCTGAATCCTGAGTACATTTAACTCCTCATAAAACCATTTTAAGTCACTAAAAAGACAATTCATTATTGATTAACAGTTCTTTAGTGTTTATTTGCTTTCCACGTTACACTTGTCAGTGACGCTGAAGGGGGAAAAAAAGTAATTGAAAGAGACATGCCTCTAAACCACGCCCATTAAAAAAATTAACCCAATCACCATGAACATTCGTCTTCCATTCGGGAGCATGTCGTAGACAATAGCCAATCAGTGACAGAGTACTTTGCTGACGTTCATATACCGGTTCCGGTTGGAGCCATTCAAGCCATGAGGCAATATAGCATTTCATTCTAACTGAACTCGGTCGAAAATACATTGACAAATCATTTTAAAAAACATTTGACGAATAACAAAACATCAACGTTAAGTTTATAGGTTTCGAAAAAGTAACGTCATAGGCTAACATTTACCCGCTACATAGCACGGTTAACAAAAGAAAATGGCTAGCTAGCTAATCAGCCGATTGTCATACCGGCTACGTAATAGTTTTGTAACGCCGCATATTTATTCATTCAACTATATATTAAACCAAGGTTTCAATTTGAGTAATGTATGAAAAATCAAAAGAACACGTTTGCTTTTCTTCCCTTTTTTCTCTAGTCAGCTTACTGATACGTGTGTCGAACGCTAAATGTAATCGTCAATATAAATGAGGGGGGAAAACAATAAATACAATTCTTTACGTACCTTAAAAAGCATTTACAAAGAGTTTGCCCATGAGATCACAGACCTGGGTTGTAAAAAAAAAGAAAGAGTTCCCTTCACGATGCGCTGGCCTGGCTGCTGGAGGAGTCGTCTCTCTGCCGGGGCTGGCTGACTGGAAGCCGGTAAAGGAGCTCGGAAGTATTTATAGAGCGACCGTTGCCAGGACAACGCAGCCAGCTGAAACCGGCCTCGCATCCACGTAGGAACCGGTTCAGGCTTGTCACTTTATCCACATGGTGGGATATAAAGAGACAAGGAGCTCCGCTCTGCCGAGGTCTCCCGTAAGAAAGAAAACTGAAGCTAGTGGCATCAGTATGGTTAAGACATTCCCTGGATGTTGGTTACTGGTCAGAGATACGAAATCTCTTTCATCAGGTCGTCTTACTCACCAAAAAAAAAAAAAGAAAAAAGATTGTAATATATTTCAAAATCCACTTTGATTTTCTTCAGTGATACACATTCAATAGCTGTGGACTGTCACCAGTCACAATTCCGTGATTTCTAAGGCATTAAAGAGACAATTAAAAAAAAAATCAATAATAAGCTTTTACATTATTTGGCAAATATAAAAGGGGTGAGAAAAACCACTTGTGATTCCATTTGCAAGCTTTCCTTTGGTATGTCTTCTATTAGATAGAAATTCTTCAGATTAGATTTCTGTCTGATTACTGTGGTTCCAGGCCATCTGTGTTGAGATACTGTCATAATTCTACTGGGCCATTGAATTTGGCCACTAAATGTTTGCATAAAATTTTTAGAATCATCTTATTGACTTAAATTTGGCAATGCAACTCTGGACATATGCCTCAAAGTCGTCCCTTGGAGTGACCATCCAGAGTGTACCTCACCTTTTGCCCAATGGCAGCTGGGACAGGTTTATCCTGAATAGGATTAAATGGGGATAGGAAATAGATGGACGCCTCATTGATGAACCTGGCTGGCTATTGCGTTTAAAATGCTTTAACTGCCACATTTGCCTCTCGACACGCCCTCAAATTATAATCAATCTCACTTTAGGCCTTCTTCTGAAATAGCCAACCAAGTTGTTTGTTGTGGGCTTTTTTTGTTTTTTGTTCACAAGAACAGAAACAGCTGCTCTGGTAACACAATCGGTGCTGAGCGGGAAGACTGGGGGTTAAAAGAGAAGCCAAAGCACATATTGTCTGAAAAAGACACGGATATAACAAAGCCCATGACTCATTATGCCATCCATGCTCTGTGAAAAGTATAAACAAGAATTACATTTGAATGTTGTTTAATCATCACACGTGACGCATATAGTTAGAACTTGTTAAGGTGAATATTAAGAGGATCGGTATGTACAATATGTACAAAGCATTTTTTGATGTTTGTTTTGGATAATTGTGGATTTTTCTATAGAATTTCAGAGCATTGTGAAATTGTTATCAATCAAATTTAAAAATGGAAACAACGTTAATATCCCATTACATATTAGTCCCTGCCCGGCCATTTAAAAAATCCACATTGGTCAAGGTTTGCTACACCTTTCAGACTTCACGGTGAGGACGATTAGCACAGGCAGGTTCAGCATGGCAGCTGCCTTTCAAGAAACGTGGACTACATTTGTGGTAATCCCAGGGATGTTAACTCCTGTTGGCAGGGCGCAACAATCTGTTGGCTCCGTCTGACAACAGGGTTTCGGGGATGTGCCTCGGCTTGACGGCAGCTGTCTCCGTCTCACTGAGCTGCTGACGTGCCTGATGAGATTAGAGGAGATCACAGGACAATTGACACGGCAAGGCCTCAGCCCCAAGCTCACACTCACAACGGTCCTGAAGAGTTGGAAATATACGCATAAAGCATTAATTTTGTTGTTTTTTTAAAGATGTGCCTCATGCTCTAAAGTTTTATTCATGCCCAACTTTTTTACAGAAAGTTACAGAGTGCAACTTTAAACAGAAGGCAGTAAAATGCTTTTTTTTAAAACCAGATCCCAGACATTTCCCCCTTACTGCAGGATTTAATCAGTCCAAAGGTTGCTCTCATAGACGTTTGGTTTGCAAGCAGACATTACCAAATGGAGGAAAATGAAGAATTCGCTTGATGTGACTTAACACATGTGGAAATGTTGCCTAGGCATCACTTCTAAGACACCAAGAGGAAGCTTTAGGGTTTCTTGAGGACCACATATCTGTGGGCTTAATAACTTTTCCAGGTCTTGAGGCCACAATCAAGATGGCATTCTCCTCCTCGCACAACAGGGTTTCCATTAACGTCTGGAGGAAGGGTCGGGGAATGAGCTCATTCTTCCCAAGAAGCGTAATTATCAGAACCTAAAATGAGAAACCCCATTCTTAATTAGTTGAAAATTAAAAATGAGGTTGAATGGAAACTCTTGCGATGACGCAATGTGGAGTCAGTTCCAGACTGAGCAGGTTTCCTCAGAGCTCCGCCATGTCAGTCTGAATTTGCAACAAGAAGGCAGGCCCGGCCTCTTATGCAAACTCATTCCTGTCCGAAAGGAAATGGGCACAAGTCTGAGGGCAAACTCATTTTCATCAGGTATAAATTAGTTAATAAAAACCCCAAGATCACAGAGCATAAAACGCAACTTTAATGTGAAACTCTGCGTCATTCCGCACATTTCTCTTTCTGCTCTGTTTCTTTGCCTGTGCGGTTCTGCCCTCTCCTTCACCCCTCTCCTGCCCTTCCTCTTGTAATGTCTATCTCAGACTATGCGGTGGCTGTTATCGCCACTGTGGACCATTGTGGTCCACATCCCACATTCGCAAGGCCTCGCCACAGACAAGGATCAGGATTGTTATTGGGCGCCCACAAGATACAGTGTGGTGTCAGGAGCCTTGGGGACGGGGCCGCTCTCAGTCGGGTTATTTCTGTTTATTTCATTGTCACTTCATAGCTGCAGAGTGAAATAATTCAGTAATTTCTGACAACACTGTTAACCATCTGCTAACATCACAATTCTCTCTGAACCTCTCTGGGAAAATCTAACGTTTGTTAATAGAAAGTAAAAGTGCGTCATTATGCTTTGGAAACAGGTTATAAATCATTTTACTCTTCTCTGTTTCCACTGATTATCAACTGCTTCTATTTTCTTACATGTTGTTGCAGAACAACATGAATCACGAGTCATTAAAAACAGGATAAGTTAGTTTTTTTTACAATAGCCGAGTAAATATTCATAGGATCTCAACTGAAACCTTAAAACACTCTTACTATACTCCTTTATAGCACACATGTGGCTATTTGTATACTCTAAGTACAAGAAAACACAGAGTTTTGGCTTCACCTTTGCACAGTGGGAGCCGGCGGTCATGTGTCATTCATCAATAAATGCCATCTAAAGATTGTCCATGTGCATGCCGAAAGACAAAGACTTCCTAATCTGAATGACCACCATCCATCTGCAGGTTTACACAACAAAAAAAGCTTGTGACTGGTCTTGTTTTGCATCCTCTTGTGAAAGTCTTTCATTTTAAGTGTAATTAGCTAAATATGAGGTCTTGATGTATTCTTCTAGTAGAAGTCATAAATGGACTTCATTTCTCACAACGTTTTGGTGAGGCAGATTTAAATAGATTTATATATTTGAGCTGTGATCACTTTAAGAACTGTAAGATTTGCTCTGTAGTCCAGTCACAACTGGCTGGTTTGTCCTAGCAACCATATATAAACCCGTAACAACTGAGACTAAACCCGCCATTTAGGCTGACTCACCAAAATCACGAGGCAAGGATGGTTTCAGAGTTCAAGGATTTCAGGTGTTAAGACCACATAAGAGTTTAACAGGCCCAATCCATGAAGGCTTGACCTCATTATAGCTGGACATTTCTGCTTGACCCAGACAGATACTAAGACTGGGAATCTTATCGCTGCATGGCTTTAGGTTCATATGGACAGATGGCACTCCAGTCTGTCTGAGTTAAAACCATCGGACAAACACCAGCCACCCTCACAGAGGAAGGCTGTGGTTGCATGTTGTATTATCAGTTCATAACCAAATAAGTATTTAAACCTCATTCAGTTTTTTCCAGCATCACTTACGGCTGGAATAAAACATGCTAGAGGTGCGACAATGAGTCTTTTTAGTGACAAAGACATTCCTAGGAAAGAGCAGAGGTAAAGCTCTGTATTTTCCCTGAATCCAAGGAGAGTAAATGACTTGTAATTTAGGTTTGGCTGTTGCGTTAGGCCTGTTACCACAATACCTTTATAAAAGTCGATTAAAGGTTTGCTCCTGTGGGTGCTGACTGGGCTCATCTAAGACTGGTTAATTCTAAAGGATGACATCATCCTGAAGAGTTGTGTAATCCGCAGCTCTCTTTTCTTTGCAGAGCAAATTTCAGGCTTAACTTAGTTTTTCTTCTCTTTTTCTGAAGAACGCAATTTGACTGTGGAGCCTTTCATCACAAGTAGTCATTATAGGTTAAGGAGCTCGGTTATACTTATACACAGATTTTAACCTTTTTGGGGGGAGCCAAGAAGAAACGATTGACCTGTTTCAGGAAAAAAATGTACACTTACATTTAAGAAATTTGGAGACAATTGCACGATGCCACTATGTTGGAGTGGGATTAATCAAAGAAGTTAAAAATGTGAAGAAACATCTCAAACAATTGAATACACTAAGAGCTGATGCTTTATAAGAGAAAATTGAGGCATTTCCTTGGCAGGTTTTCCAAATGAGGAACACTCACTGCAGGAGACCCATTTGATTGGATTTAGTTTTATGCATTTACACCTCATGCATCACTTTCCACCAGATGCCATTTCTGTCACCAAGTTCAGTTTTAGCCATTTAAACCCAAACATTATGACTTCTGGGGCTGGTTTGGTTGTTTGGGCTCAGTTTTGGGATCTGTTGCTTATCGATAAATGCAACATGTCTGTGAACACAATAACCTTCTGTTGTGGTAAACTGTCGTACTTCTTGGATGACAGACGTGTAATCGATAGAGAGATTAAGACAATATCAAGGAAAAAAAGTGAGTAGTTAATAGTTTTCCTTGATCTTTCACATAATGAAGCCGTCTCCAAATTCAGTTAGGAGACATTTAATAACATTTCCTGGCAGAAAAACCTGATATGATTGTCATGATGAAATGTGACCTTGTGGCTGGCCCACTTGCCAGCTCTGTTCCTACTGTTTAATCTGACTCTGTGCTGACTCATCACCTCCTCTTCTCTCAGGGCTGAGCTGCCAAGAGTTTGCTCGTTCGCTCAGCAGCACGGAGACAGGGACCGAAAAAAAAAAAAAAAGTGACCATATTTTCACTGGAACATCTTTTGTGCATTCCTGGGTTGGCCTGAAGCTCGGCCAAAAAGGCTGCCTCAGCACATTTCCCTCCTTTGATCCATTCCCAAAAAAAAAAAAAAAAAAA